AGAGAGAGAGAGAGAGAGAGAGAGAGAGAGAGAGAGAGAGAGAGAGAAAGGGCCTTGATGGACATCCTGGTCAGGGAAAAAAATGTGGTACTATACAATGGAATATCGCTCATCTGTTAAAAATAAATAAATAAGAAATTATGAACCGGGAAGGGTGGCACACACCTTTAATCCTTTAGCACTGAGAAGGAAGAGGGAAGTGGATCAATCCCTGAGTTCAAGGCCTGGTTTACAGAGTGTGTCCCAGGTCTGTGAAGAAGTGAAGGAAGAGGAGGGGGAGGGAGGGAGAGGGGAGGGGAGGAGGAGGGGAGGAGGAGGGGAGAGGAGGGGGAGGAGAGGGGAGGGGGAGGGGGAAGAGAAAAGAAAGAAAAGGAAGAGGATGAAGAAATTCTGAATATCACAGATAAATGGATAGAGTTGGTGGGGGAAAGTCATCTTGAGTGAGGTAACCCTGACCTAAAAAGGCAAAATACATCTTCTCTTATATGTGGATGTTAGCTTTTAATCCTTCCATAGGCATGCTACAATCCAATATAACCAACCATAAAGATTAGGCATAGAGTTAGGGAGGAGGGAAGAGGGAGGAGGGGAGGACCTCCCAAGGGAAGGGAAATAGAATATATAACTGGAGAAACAAGGGGAGACTGGAGCTGGAGGATTAAATGGGGACAGGGAGCGAGAAGAGAGGTAATGAGAGTGGGGATACAGAAAGGGACAAATAAGTACAGGTCATATGGAAACCTACTACTGTAGAAGCTTCTCAAAACATATACGTGTATGAAAGGAACGCCTCAACTAGGCATCTGTCACCACCAAGAGAAACCTCCAGTGCCAGGAATGGGTGACATTTAAGTGAGTTGTTGGCCAAAGGGGTTCTGTGGAAACCCCTAAACAATCCAGGCTATTGCCAAAGTATTGTTTGCTCTCTGCAAACTGATGGTAAGCCCCTATTGCTAAAAATTGATATTGACATACTCATTGAATATGGAGGGGTTAAGCTAGTGCCTATCTAGAGCCTCATCCCTACTGACTCATTTTCATGGTACTGGAAGGTACTCTGCACACTACTGATACGTGTGTGTGTGTGTGTGTGTGTGTGTGTGCTCCCTCGCTCATCCCCGCTGGAGTGACCATACATATCTCTTGTGCTTTTTCTTTCTTCATTTTTTATTCTTTTGTGTTTTTCAAGATGGTTTTTCTATGTAGCCCGCCCAGGCTGCCCTATAATTCACCCTGTAGACCAGGCTAGCCTTGAACTCAGAGATCTGCCTTCCTGTGCCTCCGAGCAATAAGATTGAAGGTGTGTGCCACCACACCCTTCTTTTTAAAAATGAATTTGTATGTGTGTTTGTGTACGTGTCACTTGTGCTTTTTGTTTATTTTTATTTTGTTTTTCTTTTTAATTGCCTGTTTTCTAAAGAGAGATTAAGAAGGCATGGAGTTAGTTGAATGGGGATCTGGAGGAGACAAGGGACAGGAAACCGTAATCAAAGTTTTTATTCTTTGAGTTTTGGTCATTAATCGATCTGAGGCATCTACACGCGAGTCAAATCACAGCTTCTGGCCTTTGTAAGGAAAGCTGACTTGGTATGAGCCCTATTCCATTCCTATCTCAATTGCCTCTCCTCTCTGTGTCCTTCGATGTATCTCTGCTCATTTACTTCATGAGGCATTCCTAGCCTGCTCTCTGTTATGATTTCCTATAATACTGTATGCTTTTCTTGAGTATGTTTTACACCTACAGGTTCATTTTTGATTTTGTAATAAGTACACATATATGTTTTCCCAATAACAAGGTACATGACGGTATGGTGGCTCAACTATAGCCCAATAATCTAGCAGTGGTTGGGGGTGCATATCATCTTTTGCTAAATGTTGTTAAACTACATCTCATCTTTCGCTAAATGTTGTCAAACTCTCTTCTACCATTTTTTACTTGGTCTTATTTTAGAGGGTTGTGGTTAATACACAGTCACAACTGTTGAAAATATAACTATATCAACCCTTTGGAGCCAATATTCAAGCACAGAACAAAGGGTTACAGTCTCCACTCCTTACAAAGTCTTTATTGGGGAATTAGAAAAATTTGTAAAACGAGTCCAGAACCAAAAAGGCGGGGGAGAGTAGTCTGAATTGGGTTATGAAGCCCGCGAGGTGCCTCACCTCAGCCATTGAACTCGCGCTGCTGGCCGTGAGTCTGTTCCAAGCTCCGGCGAGGGAGGCATCCGCCCACCAGGGGCTTCTCCTGCCCAGTCTGCCCACGCGTGGAGCCCCTGCTCTCTGGGAACTCACCTCCCCGCTCGGGGAGAGCCCGGTTAGGGCCGCGGGTGGCCCCAGTCTCAGACCTTCCCAGGGGCCAAAGAGTGACGAGCACTCAGCGCGTGGCCCCACTGATGAGCTTCCTCCGCCCACTTACACGGCGGCGATCGGCGAAACTTATAAGAGTCGAAGGCGGCATAAAGTTTAAGCTTATGGTGACTTCCCACAAAGCACAGCGCGTAATTTGCATGTACTTTATCCCAGGCTCTTTCTCCCGACCAGTAGCCTCACATCCGGGCAAGGGGTGATGACGTCGTCTATCAAGCGCGATGGCGCCGCGGCGGCGGAAATCTGGCTGTGGAAGACGAGGTATGAATTCAGTTCTCAGGCAGAATGATTGGCCCAGAGTCACAGGGAGCCCCTCGCTTTTTCGTATGACACTTCAGTCCAAAGAGGCGTGTGGACACGTAACTGGAAACTTAAGTGTCATTCAATATTTCAAGTCTTTGTTATTGACCGTAGCATTGCGACTGGATAAACGCTTACAATAATGTGATTAGCTACTTACCTTTTAAGATACGTCCGATTTCAGAAAGTAAAATTCGAACCTTAGAATTGTTGTCTATGGACTGTATACTGTGTCTGTGGTCTCGATTTTATATTTCGGGCAATTGAAGTATAATGAACTTACAGGTTCTGAAGCTCCAAGCAACGCTGCTATAAGCTGGTCAATCCAGACCGTAGAACACTTTACTGATGATCATGATGAAGTGGTCTAGTTTGAAGGAAGGTATTAAAGACCAAAGGCTATGAGACTTCATTTAATGAACTGTAAACATCTCTGTAAACTTATTTTATCCTATTATTAATATTCGGTCAAGATAGCAATTTACGCAGTATTGCTCAGTGAGTGATGTGCAAGTTATTTGTATACGTTCAAAAGAACATCTTAAATTATTTCTTTAAAAATTATTTAATCTTTATGTGTGTGTTTCATCTACTTAATATATGTGCACCAAGTATGTGTGTGCCTAGAAGTGTTGGACTCCCCCTGAAACTAGGGTTACTGACAGTTGTGGTCTACCATTTGAGAGATGGAACTTAAAACCCAGATCCTTTAGAAGAGTGGGGGAACTTCTTCATCACTGACTCACCTTTCCAGCTACTTTAAATTCTTTCTTTAAAGGAATTTATGAGAGCCTGGTGGGCATGTTGGCTCACGCCTTTAATGCCAGAACTTGGGAGGCAGAGGCAGGAGGATCTCTGTGAGGTCCAAGACAGCCAGGGCTATATAGAGAAACCCTGTCATTTAAAAAGGGGGAGAGGAGAGTTGTCAGGGGGCTGGAGAGTTAGCACAGTGTTAAAAACAACAACAACAACAAACCCACTTGATGCTCTTGCAGAGGGCCTGGGTTTGATTCCAAAAACCCACATGGCAGGACATAACCATCCTACCAGACCAACAGGTATACCAAACATGCATGTGGTGCACATACATATATACAGACAAAACACCAATACACATAAAATGAAATAATAATCTTGGGATTTTTTTGATTGTTTGTTTTGTTTTGTTTTTATGTTTGTTAGCAGTCAGTAGCAGAGACAACTCTGCTGTCTCGGACAGTAACCTAAGTTTTTCAGAGACCTCTACTCAGGCAAACCTAGTATTCTTGGCTTTAAAGTAGAAAGGACTTTCAGGAGTATGCAAGATGAACCAGAGTTGGAAGTTTATTAAAGGAGACATCAATATATGTTTTAAGCACAAGGCTTAAAAGAAAAGAAATGCCTGGGAAGAGAGACGCCGCCACAGAACATGGGTGTGGGCTTCTCAGAGAAGAATCACCCTTCACTTACTTTATAATAGACATGTATGTAAGATGTGTGAGTTTGGGCTCTTCAAAGAGTTGTTAAAGAATTTAAATGAGATCACAGTTCCTGAGCTAGATCTGACAGAATTCCAGTGTCCGGGTCTAGATGATAAGGCATGAACATTAGGTTATCAGCACTGTAAACAATGTTGGTGGTCTGTTTAAGATTCCCATAAAGTGGGAGAGAAATGAACCAGGCCCATTGTCATATTCATTTAGACCACCAGCCCAATTCATTGTCACTTAACATGAAAATAAGATCTGTGTCAGCAACTTTCGTAGCAGATTAATTGGGTTGCAATTCTTGCTTCTCAGCTGCAGGGGCTTCAGCCAGACTCTGGGATAGGAGGGGCTGCCTTTCCTTTTCACAGCCCTCTAATTTTCCCATGTTTTTATTATTAGGTTATAATAAATCCTGTGCTTCAGTGTTGTTTCAATAAAGTTAGATCATCTTCATAGTGTAGTAATTCTTTGTATACCGTTTGTGCCATCAGTGCTCAATGAAGCCAAGAAAGTTGATAATGGCAACAAAGCAACAGAAGACTCTCCTCCTGGAAAGAAAATGCGCACTTGCCAGAGAAAGGGGCCTGTGGCTGGAGAGAAGGATGCAGACAGGACAAAAGGTAATGGGCCAGGGAGGACATGGGACAACTCTTGGGTCACTGGAAGAATTGGGATATTTGTTCCTTCCCTCTTTGAGGATGCAATTAATTTCTCTATCACTTGGGCATCCTCAGTACCAGTCTACTTTGTTAAATCTTTATTTTCATAGATTTGAGATGCATTAGGACCTAGGCAGAAGACCTGGACTGTTCGGGAAGGGCAAAGTTAATTGTGACAGCTTTCTAGCCAAGACTGCTCTTTTAGTCCCACATCAGTAATGGTAGTGTATATTTATGTTCCCCCAGACGCTGTAAAGACCTTGCTGTTAAAGGGCAAAGCTCCTGTGGATCCAGAGTGTACAGCCAAGGTGGGAAAGGTAAAAGCATCTGGAAAGGACAGCAGAGTTCTTTTGTCTTACTATCATTTCTGTCTAGAATATTGTTGGTGCTCATTTTAAAAACACTTCCTAAAACATTGCTAGTGTTTACTTTTCCCCGGAGTTGAGAAGTAGAGGTGACGAGGTTTCAATGTAGCAGAATATCGAGCCTGGAGAAATGGTCCAGTGGTTAAGAACATTTGTCGTTCTTCAAGAGGACCTAGGTTTGATTCCCAGCACTCACGTGGCAACTTACAACCATCTGTACCTCCATTTCTAGGAAATATGATACACTCTTCTGACCTCCACAGGTACCATGCATGCAAGTGGCACACATACATACACACACACACACACACACACACACACACACACACATTCAGGCAAAACACTCACATATAAAATAAAAAAATAAATAGATTTAATTTTTAAAAATTTAAAGATATTCACAGAATAGTAACACAATTACCATAGGGGCTGCCATTAGCTTTCCACAGTATATTTCATTTTTCACCCAGGAAATATTGATTGTTAAGGGAAAATAGTGTGGAGTTTTGTTTATGTTTGAGTTTGGTTTGGTTTGGTTTGGTTTGGTTTGGTTTGGTTTGGTTTGATTTTGAGACAGGGTTTCTCTGTGTAACCCTGCCTGTCCTGGAACTTACTCTGTAGACCAGGCTGGCCTCAAACTCAGAGATCCACTGCCTCTGCAGATCCTCGAGTGCTAGGACTAAAGGCGTGAGCCACCGTTGCCCAGTTGACAGTGTGATTTTGATGAAAAGCTACCATAGAACAACATGAGTTACTGATGAAGAGGAAAGGGGTTTGGAAGGATCTAGAAACAAGCCTGCTTAAAAGCAGGTTTCGTTTGAGTTAGTCTCTTTTAGGCTTCTGTAGTTAGAAGTAGTTATTATGTTTTAATTATAAAAATGATAGTCTGTATGTAGAACATACATTTCTTTTTTCTTCCTGAAAAACAAATGTTGGAAATGCTGGAGAATACGAGGGAAAAGTCAAGACTGAGTGCATTGATGCTATTTGCTTTCTCTCTTCCCAGGCTCATGTGTATTGTGAAGGAGATGATGTCTATGATGTCATGCTAAATCAAGTAAGAGGATAAGTCATTCTTTTTGTAGGAATTTCTTTTTTTTCATTCTTCATTTTAAAAATTACATTTATTTAGTTTGTGTGTATATGTATGTGGTGGACAAAGGACAACTTGAGTCAGTTCTCAGTCTTGTGTAGTGGCACATGCCTTTAATCCCAGCACTTGGGAGGCAGAGGCAGGCAGATCTCTGTGAGTTCAAGGCCAGCCTGGTCTACATAGTGAGTTCCAGGGCAGCTAGGGCTACATAGTGAGACCCTGTCTCAAAAAACAGACAATGGAAAAAAAATAAGAAAAGAGTCAGTTCTCTCCTTCTGCCTAGAGGGTCCTTGTGATGAACTCAGGATTGGCTGGGATTGGCAGGGAGTGACTTTACCCATTGAGCCCTTGGCTAGTCCAGGTTATTGGAATTTCCTTATAATATAAACGGCTCACATCTTTCCATGATTGACATTTTCTTTTGATTATATTATAATCTCCTTTTTGCCCATGTTGAAGACTTTTTAGTTTGTTGGCTTGTTTTGTGGGGCTATCTGTTTATTTCCTTGTGGCAGGTTCTCTCTGTGTAGCCCAGGCAGGCCTTGAACTTTCAGTCTTCCTGTTTCCATATCTTTAGGGCTGGAATTGTAGGGGCACAGCTGTCTAACCCAGTTTGTGCTGACATTTTAAACATGTGTGTTTTGTTTGTTTTTTTTTTTAAAGAAGTATTACTGTTGTATGTGTCTGGTGGCAGGAGGCACACATACCGAAGCACATGTATGGAACCCCCCTAACCCCCACCCTTATCTTTGCATGTGCATGTGTGTGTTGCTGTGTTGCCCTTACTAGCCTGGCAGTCACTCTGTAGACCAGGCTGGGCTCAGACTGACAGTAACTGTGCTGCCTCAGCTTCCGGAGAGTTAGAATTATAAGTGTGTGCACCACAATGTTCTGTTTCTTTTTCTATTCCCAGTTTGAGAGACCAAACCCAGTGCCTTGTGCTTGCCACGCAAGGCTCTACACAGAGCTAGATCCCTAACCAATCTTTTTTTAATGACTCATTTTTATTTTATGTGTATTGGTGCCTACAAGTGTGTCTGTGTGAGGGTGTCAGATCCCCTAGAACTGGAGTTACAGACATTTGTGAACCGCCATATGGGTGCTGGGCATTGAATCCCAGTCCTCTGGAAGAACAGCCAGTATTCTAAACTGCTAAAACCCCTTTCCAGCCCCTCGTCTTGTCTGTCTGTCTGTCTGTCTGTGTCTGTCTCTCTGAGTGAGTGTGTGTGTGTCTTTGTCTTTCACACACACATTGTTTTGAATAGATAAATTCTTTGTTAATTTATTTCCTGGATATGACTCATATTTGGATTTATCTACTTTTGTGCTTATGAGTGCAGATGTATGCTTACATGTAGAGGCCAAAGGTCAACTTCAGGTGTTGTTCATCAGGTTCCATTGACTAGTTTTGCTTTTATTTTTTTTCTTGTGGAAAGTTTTTTTTTTCTTATGGAAAGTTCTTTTGCTAACCTGCTCTCTTAATAGGTTCGCCTTGCTGGCCAATGAGCAGGCTCCAGGAATCCCCATGTCTGCCAACTCAGTGCTGAGATTCCAAATGTGCATGGCCATGCTCAGTTTCTCATGTGGGTTGGGGATTGAACTCAAGGTCTTATGGTTGTTTAGCAAGTACTTTACTGACTGAGCTTTCTCACCAGGCACGCACTTCGATTTATTGATCTAATATATGTAATTTACAGCTCACTAGTATTCCTTTGTGTTATTTATACCTAAACTATCATAAGCCGTGCCGGGGAGCTAGCTGAGTCACCAATGCCTGCAGTACATACCTGAGGACCTGAGCTTGGCTCCCCACCACCTTAATACAAAGCTGAGTACAGTGGCTCATACCTGTAGTCCTAGCAGCAAAGAGACAGAGACAGGCGAACACATGGGCTTGCCAGTGAGCGCCAGGTTCAGTGAGAAACCCTGTCTTAATAATGTAGAGTGCAAAATGTCTGTGGAGGGGGCCATTGAGAGGATGCCATTGATTAACATAGGATGTCAGGTTGGGTAGTGGGTTTCAGGAAGCTTCCAAGATCCCACTTTAATTCCCAAGACTGAAATGTTAAGTTCCTCTTTATATCCTTATTCTCTCAAGATCTATTTTTTTCATCATGCTGTGCTTTCACTGTGACAGTCTTAAAAGAAACATGGTGGTTTTTGTGACCTCCTGTTGTAAAACTAACTCCTCTGTGTTATTGTTCTCCCACTTGTCACAGACCAATCTCCAATTCAACAACAACAAGTACTACCTTATTCAGCTGTTAGAAGATGATGTCCAGAAGAACTTCAGTGTTTGGATGAGGTGGGGCCGAGGTAAAGGCTTTATGGTGGGTTGATGAGTTGTCATTCAGAATCATAGAGGCAATGCAGTGAGTAGGCTTAGGTCTCCGAGTGGCTCAGGAATCCGGATGGGCTTTTGAGGTTGGGAAGTGGCAGGCATCGACACTGGGAAGCTTGGGTAGGCTGAGAAGACCCCTGTATTGGACTGACGGTACTGCTTATAGGCTGTGACACTTAGCGGTAATTTGTATCAGTGTGATCACTTGCCTAAGCCGTTTCACCTTTCTCTCCTCTTTTCCCTCCTATTAGTCAGACAGTAAGCAGAGAGACCGTAGAGAGATGGCTCGTTACTACTGGAGAGCTACACTCGGGGTCTAGGGCAAGGAACCATCCTATGTATGGCATTTACTTTGCAGTTGGGAAGACGGGACAGCACAGCTTGGTGGCTTGTTCTGGTGACCTCAACAAAGCAAAAGAAATATTTCAGAAAAAGTAAGTGCTAAAAATGAGTTTAAAAACATACCCTTCTTGGATCTCTCTTGTTGAAATGTTTCATGTAAGGATGATTTGGCATAAATGTTCATTCATTTCTACTCTGACTCCCTGTGATTAGAGCAGTAAGTTATATCTTCAACCAGTGATTAAATCAACCTAGAAGTTGACCAGAGGAATCTTTTTTTAAACACAGCAAGCAAATCTAAAACATTTGACACACCAGACTGCACCTGCAGCTTCACCTTCTGGAGGTGAATTTTGAGGACAGACTTTCTAGAGTCTAAAAACATCATGTCTCTTTCTGGGACAAGCATTGTTTATTTACCTGTTCCTTTATACATCCATGGCTTCTATCTCTGGGGACCTTTGGGAAGCTGGGAAGCCTTTTGCTCCCAGTTTTACATAATTCCCTGGTTTGGTGTTTCTGTTCATTCAGTGTCCTGATTTACAGTTCACACTACGGAACACTAAGGTGGGCCTGAGCTGTTGGGACACAAATTGTTGAGAAACTATGTTAGGAAATTGCTGTATGCCTCCCTCTCGCAATGAACTTTGACTCATTTGTCTTTCCCACTACCTTGGGCTCCACAGATTCCTTGACAAAACTAAAAACAATTGGAAGGATCGTGAGAACTTTGAGAAAGTACCTGGAAAATACGACATGTTACAAATGGACTATGCTGCCAGCACGCAGGTATGCTGATTCTGCAGAAGGAGTCTCTGAGTCAGGGAGGGCTAGCCAGGTGCTGGAGATCAGGCCAAGACCAGAAGAGGCTGGGATACTAGGAGTCAGTGCTGCTTTCCACCTCCGAGAGAACTCTCCCTCATCTTTGATTACAAAGGGCCAAAATATGCCTTTCTCCTCTTCTCAGTTATGTACTAGAATTCTTGTGAAATCCAAGGCCTGCTTCTAGAAGTTCAGTGTTATTGACCAAGAGAACATTCATAAATGACCAAACTGAGAAGCTGTTTAAAGCTGGCTTCACTTCTACACCACTGTGAAGAGGTCAAGGGCTGGAAGTGTAGGGTCAGAAGCAGAATGTTTGCCCAGCATGCACAAGGCCCTGGGCTCAAAACCAAGAATCACAAAAAAAGAAGGAAAGAAAAATAATTTTGACAAATGGGTTTCTAGGATGCTCAGAAGTTTCCTAAAAACTCATAGATCTGAAAATAAGAAACTTGTATTAATATAATCAGAAGGTCTGGGGTGTAAAAGCTGTGTTTACTTAACTTAGACATAGTTGAAAGGGCCTTTTGTTCTTCCTCTGAGTGCTTCACTGTGAGGGAGCACTAACAGGTCAGCTTGGAAATCACATTGGCTGCTCTAACTAGATTCCTAATAGGAACATACCAGCATTCAAACACATCATCACAGTAGAACCTTTCCCTACAGATGTTGAAGTGGTGTTTATTTTGCTACAGGATGAAAGTAAAACAAAGCAAGAAGAAACTTCGAAGCCCGAGTCTCAGCTGGACCTTCGAGTCCAGGAGCTGCTGAAGTTGATCTGTGATGTGCAGACCATGGAGGAGGTGATGATCGAGATGAAGTATGACACCAGGAGAGCCCCGCTCGGTAGGACTCAGGCTCGGCTGCAGCCCCTCAGTGTCCTGCCTCTGCAGTCAGCAGTCTCAGCACTATAGCTAAGGTTTACTCAAAGTCCTGAGTGAGGGAAACAGGGTTGAAAGAGGGGTATTGAGAGGAATTGAGTCGTTATTGGGTAGGGATATACAGTTTACAGGGATGGGACCCTAGTCTAGAATCTGACCTCTTACTGGGCCTCCAGGAAAGCTGACAGTGGCGCAAATCAAGGCAGGTTACCAGTCTCTCAAGAAGATTGAGGATTGTATTCGTGCTGGCCAGCATGGGCGAGCGCTTGTTGAAGCGTGCAATGAATTCTACACCAGGATCCCTCATGACTTTGGGTAAGGTCGTGCTGTCTCTTTACCTTGCTCTTCCACTCACCTTTTATGCCCTGAGCAGCTACAGAGATTATGGTCCTCATAATCTTTGTCACCTTAAATAGAACTGGATCCAAGATGATTTGTAGCTAGCTTAGAGTAAGGGATGTCGGCACTCAGGAGATAGAGAGAGGGTGCCTAGTGAGTTTAAGGCCAGCCTTGACTCTATCTCAAGGAAATTTTAAAAATAAAAGAAATATGGGACATAATTTCCCAACTTATCAGAACTGTATTTTGACCAAATGAATGGTATCAACTCAAAAGAGAATGGACCCCCGACCCCACAAAATAAAAAATAACCCTTAAAATGCAAAAACATGAAAAAGTCTATATCTAGCCACTGCGTAAAACACCTTGCAAATCCCGCCTTCTGTTCTTTAAGAGGACTATAATCACACAGATACCACTTTTCTGAGTCCAAATGATTGGTATTAAATGAAGAAAACACACTTCTGCCCTTTATTTGTGTGTGTGTTTGTGTGGTCCTGGGGATTGAACCTCGGCCTTGTGCGTGTTACTCAAGTACTTTCCCTTAGATGTAGCCTAGCTCTGTTCATTCTTCATCCTCATTTTCACTGTTTCCATTTCCTCTGTCGCTTTCTGGGTACTCTATGACCTCAAAATAACCCAAATGTTCAGAAGACTTGCCCCTTCTGGATTGTATTCAAAGTTCCTTATTGATGTCAATGTAGCTTATTTTTAATAAGGATCTCTTAAATTTCTACTCTAGTCCCTAACATAACATGGAAATCTAAGTAGTATGTTTTATCCTACCCAGAATGTGCATTTAATATCCCTTTATATACTTGGGCTTTGAAGTCTTCACAGGTCTCTCTCTCTCTCTCAAATAGGAAATCCTAATTTTGTTTCTTTCTTTCCTTTTCAAAGTTTGTTTGTTTGTTTGTTCTGAGACCAAGTTTCTCTATGTATTTCTGGCTGTCCTGGAACTCTCTCTGTAGACCAGGCTGGCCCTGAACTCAACTCACATAGATGCTCCTACCCCTCCTCCTGAGTCTGAGATTAAAGGTGTACACCACCAGGACCAGCTCTTTTCTTTTCCTCTTAGTAAGAAGACAAGTCTCTGTTTCCCAGAGGACCTGTTTTTTAACCAGGCATCTTGTATCCACAAACCAGACTGCTCACTGTGGTTGTGTCTCTGACCGTAGACTCTCCATCCCTCCAGTAATCCGGACAGAGAAGGAACTGTCAGAAAAAGTAAAGCTGCTAGAGGTGAGCCCTGCACGCACTTGGAAGCTTTCAGTCTCTTCTCCTGAGCTCCTTCACATTGATTCTTTATTTCATTTTCTTAGGCACTGGGAGACATTGAAATTGCTCTTAAACTGGTGAAGTCCGAGCGCCAAGGCCTAGAACACCCACTGGACCAGCACTATAGAAACCTACATTGTGCTTTGCGTCCTCTGGATCATGAAAGTCATGAGTTTAAAGTAATAAAAATAGTCATTTATCTTCACATTCTTACTCCAGTAAAACCCATCCTTCCCACCCCTGTATTTACCAGGAACTTAAGAATGTCGAACTCTTTCTAACTCATTGTGAGGCTGTTTGGGGACAGAAAGTTCCGCCAGCTTCAGTAGCCCTGCAACCTTCAGTTCAGTCCAGTCTCTTACAGGGTCCACATTTGCTATTCTTAATTCTTTTCCACAGGTGATTTCTCAGTACCTACAGTCTACCCATGCTCCTACACACAAGGACTATACTATGACCTTGCTGGATGTTTTTGAAGTAGAGAAAGAAGGGGAAAAAGAGGCCTTCAGAAAGGACCTTCCGAACAGGTCTGAACCCAGCTCTGGGCTGAGTAGACATTTCCTTGGCTGAAATGCAGTGAAGGAGCTTGGAGGGTGGCAGAGGCAACTGCTGTGTTGGTTTGTTTTTTGTATTTGAGATTGATGTTTGCAGGAGAAGAGTAAAGTAATGGCTCTTTCTTAGGATGCTGCTCTGGCACGGTTCCAGGCTGAGTAACTGGGTGGGGATCCTGAGCCACGGGCTTAGAGTTGCCCCACCTGAGGCGCCCATCACAGGTTATATGGTAAGTAAAGACTGAAGGCTAGAAGGAGCCCAAAGGGAAAAAACGTACAATGATGACTTAGTCCTCCAACCTAGGATTAGGTGGCACTTCTTGCAAAGAGTTAAAAACTGCTCACTAAAAACCACACCTTTTTTTAACTGTGTCCCTCTTCCTTTAAATTCTAAAAGATATCGCTCTTCTTCCCAAAGGCAAAAATCTGTAGCTATTTTTGTTGTCTCTTGAACTGACACGGAAAGGAGAGTGGGGGAGGAACTATGCTGTGTTTATGAGAACAGAGTTAATGCTAAGTCTTCCCCCTCATAGGGTTTTTTGTTGTGTTTTGTTTTTGAGACAGTGTCTCACTGTGTAGCAAGTCTGGACTCAGACTCAGAGATGTACCTGCTTCTGCCTTCTGAGTGCGAGGGTTAAAGGCATGCACCATACCAGGACCTTGTCATATAGTGGATTAGACGCCTGATCTCCATTTTTGTTGATCTATTTCAGTTTGGGAAAGGAATCTACTTTGCTGACATGTCCTCCAAGAGTGCCAATTACTGCTTTGCCTCTCGTCTAAAGAATACAGGATTGCTTCTTCTGTCAGAGGTAAGGCAGGGGACACAGCTAAGATCTCTAATTTACTGTTAACTCAGATTTTTCACCAAGAAAATTAACTTTGGATTCAAGAAATTCACCTGGAATGGGATTCCCAGTGCATTAGACTCTTCTGCTAAAGTAAGGGAATAAAATATAAATCAGGGTGTTCTGGGTGGCTTTAGAATCACCTATTTCCTGACTGGGTATAGGCAGGCATTCAGGGATCTTTTGCTTTGCAGGTAGCTCTAGGTCAGTGTAATGAACTACTGGAGGCCAATCCTAAGGCAGAAGGATTGCTCCAGGGCAAGCATAGCACCAAGGGGATGGGAAAGATGGCCCCCAGCCCTGCCCACTTCATCACCCTGTAAGTACCCTGAGCTAAGGCTACTGGAAGACTTCTTTCTAATTGTTAAGAATCTACTATCTAGTTCAACTCTGGACAAAATGCTGATTTTGACATATTTTCTTCTATTTGGCAGGAATGGGAGTACAGTGCCCTTAGGACCAGCAAGTGACACAGGAATTCTCAATCCAGAGGGGTACACCCTCAACTACAATGAGTTTATTGTTTATAGCCCCAACCAGGTCCTTATGCGATACCTTCTAAAGATTCAATTTAACTTTCTTCAGCTGTGGTGAATGTTGATCAGACAAGCCAGAGAGAATATAATCTTCAGACAAAACCCAAGCACTATTATGTTCTTGAACTTTTTGATATTTTGTTTAATAAAATAGTATAAATCTATCTATGGCTTCTTTGGGTTTTACTTCTCCAAGCAGTTATTCTTTGTGGGGTGCATGCCTGTGTGCACACATGGAGGCCAGGGAAGGTGTTGGGTGCATGCAGTGGTACTCTTCACACTGTCCCCTTGAGACGGCTGTGCTCTGGAGAGAGGCTGATGCTCTATAAGTCCCAGCAGTTCAGTCCTTTGTACCCCAAAATGCAATGCTGGGATTACAAGAGTGCAGCCAAACTCAGGTTTTTTTGTTTTGTTTTGTTTTTAAGATTTATTTTTAAGAATGTATGTGTATGTGTCTGAAGCGCCTGTGTGTAAGTATGTACACATGAGTGCAATGACAGTTGAGAACTGGATCCCCTGGAGCTAGAATTACATGGTCCTATGATGGCTAACCCTGGTAAGCCATCTTAACTACATCTGGAATCTTAAAACCCACACAGCTGGGCATGCTTAGGAGGGATTGTTTGATTGGCTCACCTGCAGTGGGAAGAGCCACCCTAATCTAGGCCATACTTGTGGCAGCTCGCAAGCAGGGCATGGAAGAAGGAAGCTTTTACTTTTTGCCTGCTTGCCCTTAGATATTGTGACCAGTTCATCCATCATATTACTGAGGCATTCGTTAGCCTGCTTCAGAATTCCAATGTAGACTGAAGACCAGCAGCAATCTAGGCATTCCCTGGAACTCCAGAACCAGATTGAAGCTATCTGAGACACCCAGCCTCACGGACTGAACAGAGGACTTAACAACCACTGGATTCTTAGCCTTTCCATTGGAAGATAGCCATTGTTGAACTGTAAGTCCCTCTAAATTTCCATAAAGTGTGTGTGTGTGTGTGTGTTTATTCCTTCCTCTAATGTAGGTCCTCTGTAAGAGTAGTATGTGCTCATAACTGCTAAGCCATTTCCTTAGCCCCCAAACACTTAGTTCTTCTGATATCATTATTATCTTCATTTCCAAGAAGTACCTCTGTGTCCCACAGCTCGTGACAGGTTACTCTGGATTCTATTCTCTCACAGTGTATAGCCTCTCCAGTGAAGGACACTAATGAAGGCTAATGCTTTCCCCTGTTAAATTCATTTTTCCCCCTGCAAATTGGTGTCTGTTAAATGTTACTGTAGATAGAATACAGGCTCAAAAGACTCACTTTCCCCATCAAAATCCTCTTTATTATACCTGTTCTACGTGATATCCTAATCATCAAATGTCAAAAAACTGCATATTCTTTGACTTAAAACATAGATTCATGTTTGCATAAATGGCTTCACTGATAAGTATCCAGTCAATCTACCTACTCACTTAAGTATTATACCACTAATAAAACGGAAGACGGGCTAGAGAAATGGTCAAGTGGTTACGATAGTGCGCTGCTCTTCCAGAGGACTGAAGTTTGGTTCCCAGCACCCATCTCAGGTAGCTCTCAACTGTGTGTAACTCCAGATCCAGATCCAACACTGTCTTCTGGCCTTCAAGGCACCCTCACACGCATCCATATATGCACACAGAGACATAGACACATAAGTAAATGTAACTTTAAAAAATGTAAGAACTGATGTAGATATTATATACTTTTATAAAATATATAAGAGAAGGTGTCGCACCCACCCTTGTCCAGCAAGGATGACGCAACACACGAGCTCTTCTCCAAGCAGTTTATTCAGGACCTTGAATAAGCTTCTGACTGACGACCCCGGGCGGAAGTGTCTCCCAGGTTTAAGTACTCTAGGACTAGCCTATCCCCGTCTGCCATGTGGCAACAGCAGATAGGCCCACATACACAGAAGCAAGCCAGATCACCAGCCACAGCCACAGTTTACTCCTAAGAGCACTCACAAACAGGTGGTGGAAGGCAGAGACTGGCGCCATCTTAAGGGTGCGGCCCTATGCAGCTCTCCACAAGAAGGGAATACTTCACACTCATTCTATAGAATAACATAACCCAAACCAGATAACAGTCACCACAATTAAATCTTAGACCGTATCCCTTAAGACTAATTTTAACAATCAACAAAATATTGACTAAACGTCCATCTATCAACATATAAAAAGGATTGTATGCCATGACTGAGATCACAGGAATGCAAGGTTGGTCCACCATGAAATCAACCAGTGGGGGACAAAACTCAAATAGTCATCTCATGAAGAAAAGGCATTGGGACCAAATGCAACATACGTCTCATAACAGACTTCTCAGAGGAATGGAAGAGCACTTTCTCACCCTGGAACGGAATGTGAGAAGCACTGCTAACTTCGTACTTCATAGAAAGTACAAAGCTTGTCTCCTCAGCTGGGGATGTAGCTCAGTTGTTTGGGTGCTTGTCTAGCTGTAAAGATTATTCTTGGTTGTCAACTTGACTACATCTGGAATTAACAATTGCTGGGTTTTCAAACTGGCAAAATCCGATGTCTAGATTTTAGTAAATAACACTGTGGAACTGTTAGTTGAGATGTTAGCATCAGAAGAAGCAGATGAAGGATATCTGAGAACAACATCTACCATTCTTGAAGGTTTTGTAAATCTTTTTTTTTTTTAAAGATTTATTTATTTATTATATATGAATACACTGTAGCTGTCTTCAGACACACCAGAAGAGGGCATCAGATCTCATTATAGATGGTTGTGAGCCACCATGTGGTTGCTGGGATTTGAACTCAGGACCTCTGGAAGTGCAGTCAGTGCTCTTAACCACTGAGCCATCTCTCCAGCCCCCAGGTTTTGTAAATCTTAAGCAATTTGAAGAAAGGGGCTGGAGGGATGGATCAGCAGTTCAGAGCACTTGTTACTCCTACGGAGGACCTAGCTTTGGTTCTCAGAATCTACATCGTAGCTTCATTATTTCCTGCTGTATGTATGGGGACAGGGAGAGGCACACGTGTATACACCCAATGGTGTGCATGCAGAGGTCACAGGACAATTTGCAGGCACTGGTTGGCCTCCCACTGTGGGTTCTGAAGAGCAAACTCAGGTTGCGGCCAGTGCTTTTACTCACTAAGTCATCACACTAGCCCCTTCATTTCATCTTTTGAGACAGGATCTCACTCTAGATACCCAGTTGTCTTAGAACTGGCTATGTAGGTCGGGATGGCCTAAAATTCAAGATAAATCCTCCTTTCTTGGCCTCCAAATACAGACAAAAGTCATATACTATGCTACCTATTAAAGATGTGACTCATATCTTTTGTAGTTCTTCTAAGAGTAAATGTTAAATTAGAAAAGAACATCCATATCCTTCCCCGTTGATCTAACTCCACTGGAGAACACAATCAGGCCTGTACTTTAGATCTTTCAACATTTTATTTTTATAATCCTGTTAAGAATGTAGACACTGGTGTCTTCAGGCTAGCATCACCTGGTGACATCATTTCTGTCCTGAGTTCTGAATCTTCATTCCCAAGATAGAAAATACAAGTTTCCTTGTGTGTCTCCCACAGCAAGCTGCAGCGGAGAGCTGGGTTCCATCCAAGGTTCCAGGCAGCTCACTGGCCCTTCACATCGGAACAAGCCCAGCTGAAACAGGAACAGAGAAATGGGAGAGGTGAAGCTATAGGCCTGAGGTCTCCTTATTATCTTACTCTCAAATCAATATCTTAGAAACAGGCCACTCCAAGAGAGATTGAAAAAAAACAATTTTCATCTCTTTGCCACTCCTTAGCCTACATTAGTTTTCTTGCACTAGCCCTTTCTCAGCTTGCACGAACGAGTGTACACACATATCCACACTTACCAGCTGCATACTGGGTCTCTCCCACAGCTTAACATCTCTGTCCTTCGAAGCAGTCACCAGCAATCCAGGAAGCACATGGAGGGCTGTCACGGAGCCCAAGTGAATCTCGGAGAAGAGGGGACAACATGATTTCTCAGGGAGACCTCTTAATTACAGAAACAGCAAAAGCTACTGCGTCAGATGTAGAACCTCCTCCCCCTCTCTATGACCCCCCCCCAGCTCACCTTTTTACACTCTCGTGCCTTTAAATGTGTGGGTTCTGTCCAGCTATTCATGGAGAAATTCAACTCTGAGCACGGAGAATCTGTCTCTAGAGTCTGAGTTGTAGGTTTTTTTGCTTTTTTCTGCCAGATGTTATCTACAATCCATTCACCTTCTGGGGTGCACTCAGATAAGTTCCACAGCATTCCATCAGAGGTGGCACACAAAAGTGATGACTCTGCCAATATAAGAGCAGAGTTAGCCAGGGTTCAGGCCTTTAGAACCCACCAGCCTCCCCTAAGCCACCTCAGAAAGACCACTCTGGTCCTTCTACTTAACACTAACCAGACTCAGGTTTGGCCTGAGTGATTGATACAGGGGACCCATTAGGATTATTTAAATTCAGATTGAAGTCCAGGATCTCTTCAAACTCTCCTGACTCCTTTTGCTCCTGTGAAGGGATAGGTGGATAGGTAAGTTTGTTTAGTCTGTCCATGACACAACTCCGAGATCAAAGCTCTAAGTCAGGATATATATAGATATGGATATGAATATGGATATGGATATGGATATAGATATAGATGGATAGATACAGATATAGATAAACAAAAACAAAAACCCACCACACCAACAAGTGAAGTGCATGCACCGAATAGATGCATGCAAGAATCCACCCATGCAGTCCCCTAGTGGAGATGTGGAACATTTCTGACATCTTGATGTTGTTCCCAAGCCCATTCCCAGTTGGTAGGAGAGACCCCAAAGCTGGCAGCAGATTTCAGTGTCATGGTGTACTCCACTTATCACAAACTCCACTTTGGTGAGATCTGTAGTGAGGCCATGTTTGTGTCTGGCTTCCTTTGGCAGAATGACATGTCTGTATTTTCCCATTTGTCAATACTCAGTGTCATGTTCTGCTTTTTCTGTCATGCAGTTATATACTTAGAATTACATATCCAGGTTTGGCTATGTTGAATTAGGCTGACACAGACGTGTCAGTGCCAGGCATTTGGGGACTATGTACACTTCTTTCACTTAAGTACACACTTAGGAACAGAATCACTGCTTCCTAGACAGACTTTGTAGGTAACTTTAGTAGGTATCAGATTAGGATTTTATAAACTTTCCGGAAACAAGAGACCTCAGGAGTCTTGGGAATGAAATCTAGCTGACAGAACCCCTATCAGTAAATGTAAAGCATCTATGAGGTAACTGTGCCATGCACCGTGAAAGAGACACAATGTAGCCCTTGACCTCAAAATGCTAATACTGACAAAGACCAAAAAACAAACAAGCAAACAAACAAACAAACAAAAAAACCCACAATTAAGAAAACTAGGAGACAGGCCTAACATGGTGGCATAAGCCTTTAATTCCAGAACTAGGGAAGCATATCTCTGAGTTCTAGGCCAGCTCTATGAAGTGAGTCTCAAGACAGAAGCCTGGAGATAGAGGGGGTTGAGGAGGAAACGAATGAAGTAGGGTGTTAGAGAGATGGCTCAGCAGGTAGGAACAATTGCCAGTGAGCTTCACAACTGAGTTTTATCTCTAGAACCCACACAGTAGGAAAGAACCAACCTCACCAAGTTGTCTTCTGACTTCCATACTAATTTGTGCCTCAAACAAATACAAATACACACAGACACACACACACACACACACAAATTTAAAGACGACAAAGAACCAAGCACAGTGGCACACACCTCCTAGCACTCAGGAGGCGGAAGCAAGCAGAGGTCAGTGAGCTCCAGATCAGTCATGGCTAGATAATGAGCTCTTGTCTCAACAACTAGAAGAAAGGAAAGAAGGAAGGAAGAGAGGGAGGGAGGAGGGAGGGAGAGAGGGAAGGAGGGAGGGAGGGGAGAGATGAAAGAAAGAAAGAAAGAAAGAAAGAAAGAAAGGAAGGAAGGAAGGAAGGAAGGAAGGAAGGAAGGAAGGAAGGAAGGAAGGGATGAGAGAGAAAGAAAGAACAAAGGAAAGAAAGACCTCCTAGTTTCTGATTTTCAAGAATTATACAACTCTGTTTTGCACAATGAAATCTTTTTCTTTTTTTTTTTTTTTTTTGGTTTTTCGAGACAGGGTTTTTCTGTGTAGTCCTGGGTATCCTGGAACGCACTCTGTAGACCAGGCTAGCCTCAAACTCTCGAACTCAGAAATCCGCCTGCCTCTGCCTCCCAAGTGCTGGGATTAAAGGTGTGCGCCACCACTGCCCAGCCTTGCACAATGAAATCTTACATGGAAACTTGCACCCAAAGATTTAAAAGAGAGTTACTCTAGAGGAAGGGAGAGGAGAGCATTGGAGCCACCTGCCTTTCCCTCCCCTTACCCTCCATGATGGATTCCAATGTTTAAATGCATTGGTTCTACACAAGTGTTTGTTTAACACATCCAAACAGGACTCACCAAGATAGAAAGTAATTGGGAGTCCCTCTGATGCAGGTAAAACACGCCGTACTCCTTGCTGATGCACAGTATTGAAGAATGTACTGAATACCTCCTGCTGTTTATAAGAAAGTAAGAGACTGAGCGCGGGACTGCCTCCCTTCAAGACCCCAGTGCTTTACCCTGAGTCTGACTCAGTCTTGGGGTAACCATTAAACCACTTTTCTTTTTTTCAACACAAGAAGAAAAAGCATTTTCGATCTTACCAGATTGAAGATGGAGTTTCATCTGTAGGCTTCATCTGTAGTAATTCCACATCCTCTTTCATCAAGATGAGAGACTGGCCATCAGGGGCCAGACCCAGACCTGTCAAGACTCCCAAGTCCTCCTGCACAACTCTCTTCAGATGAAGACTGTAGCACAGAAGACACACATAAACAGAGAAGGATATTTCTTAAGCTAACCTTTCAGACTCTCAAGTACTTCTCATGAATGTACTTTTCCATACTCTTCTCATGAATGAAGTATAAAACACAATAACTGACCTGCCCTGGATATCCTGGATAACCATTGGTATGCATGCTTGTTTGTTCCTGTACTGGGATCAGACCCAGAGCCTCTGGCAGGACTAAGACAAGCACTCTAGCACCGAGCTACATTCCCAACACCTGTCTTTCTTATAGCCACATCCACCATCATTCTCCCTTACTTGCTCAAAAGGAGATTCTCTAACATTGCTGTCTTTTGTTTCCATCAATAAGTTCTGTGGATGCTCCTTTCTGCAACAGGACCCCAGATCTTAGTAGGCCTCCAGACCTCAGTACAACTGACTCCATAATGGCAGTACCACCTTGGCCAGGAAACTCAGCATGTAAACTGCACCACCAGCCAAAACGAAAACGAAGACCTAATCCATCAAAATTCATAGTTTGGGGAAAGTATCTAAGTGTACTAACTTTGCTTTTTGGCTTCTGTAGCTCTTCTGGCTAACTGTTCTTGTTAACTGAAAATATGTAAACCCAGGGTATGGTTTTTTGTGCTTAAAAGCTCACCCTGAGAAAGACTCAGGACTATGTTGGGTTACACTTGAAAAACAAAACAAACAAGTAAAAACAATGCATTGGTACCGCAAGACCAAGGCAGCTGAGAGGGCTTAGTGGGTAAAGGCACTCACTTGCCAACAAACCTAACCACCTGACCTTGATCCCCAGAACCTACATGTTGGTAGGCAAGCCAACTCCCTCAGATTGTTCTCTGACCTCTGAACACACAGGTAAAGACTATAAAGGCACCACTTTGGCTAACCTCCCTCAGACTACTCAATTCCACCCTCACAAATAAAGTAGTATAAAGCAAAATGGCTTTGCTGCCCCAATTCCTTGTCACACATACACACAGAGATCAGGAAATGCCATTTGAAACAACTGATAAAGCCAGCGGAAGCTGCCATCCTATCACAGCCTCACCTGAAAGCAGGCACAGACAGATCATAACAAAACCCTAGGGATATGTAGCTTGCCGCTCCCATCAGCAGCTGCCCTGCTTCACCTGGAATTGGTGGACGTTGAACCTTTCCTCAGTTCCACTTGCCACTCGCTGACATTTTCATTAGCACTGAGAACAAAGAATGAATTTGCCGAGTACCAGATCAGGTCACTGATGCGGCCTGGAGCCTGTGAATGGAGCAAGTTTAGTTCAGTACTTCTGAAGGACGAGCATAAAGCTTTCCCCTCCTAGACATGCAAGCAAAACTCCAACCCACAGAGGTTTCACTAAACACACTGGTGGATAGAATTCATAGAGACCAAGACACCTGTGCTGTAGCCACAGCCTTGGTTTGCTGCCACAGCGTTAGTTCCCCGGCTTCATTTCCAGACACCAGCATAGAACCGTCTGGTGCCCACGCCACAGCAGTGATGGCCACAGAACTCCCAGGTTTGTATGCATCCTCTGGAGAAGGAAGGAAAGGATATATTAAGAGCTCTGCACTGAGCTCTTAATAGTGGTACACTCCTTTAATCCTAGCACTAGGGATACAGAGGCAGGTGCTTCTCTGAGTCTAAGGGACTACATAACAAGTTCTAGACCAGCTGAGGTGACATAGTTAGACACTGTCTCAAAAAAAAAAAATAGGAAGGAAGAACGAACATCTGGGCTACTGGATGGGTGGATGAGATAAAGAGTTATATGGTTACCCTGGCATCCCTTGTTTGACTCGCCTTCTTTTATGCTACCTCACCCTTTCCCTCTCTCACCTGCTTCCTTAGGTATCTTCCAGAGCTGTACAGAGCGATCATCTAAGGTCAGCAGGAGGCCTGAGGCCTCTGAAGCAGCAGCTGCTGTGACTGGGCCACTGTGTCCCTGGAGGGTACGGATTTGGCACACCTGGGAAGAAGAGGGTTGCAGAGGTTGTCCTGTACACCTTCTCTATCACTTCCCCACTACAGTTCTTGCAGAGAACTCACCAACAGGGGATGCCACAATTTTGTGGCCCCATCTAGTCCAACAGTCACCACCAGAAGGTCTGATCCAGGCTGTCCAGCTGAAAAGACGGGGAAACCAACTCAAAAGGAGTGGCTAGGCCCAGTGGCAAAGGCCTATAATAGAGGGCTGGTCTAGCAAACACCTGTTCTAAATTTAATCTCTAGTGCTGATAAAGGGGACAAAGGAGGAAAGGCTGGCAGTTTGATACCTGGACGAGGCTCCAGAGCAGCTGCACACTGGCTGATGGGTCCAGAATGGGCAGGGATGCTGGTTAGCTCCACTCCCTGATGGTCCCACACTTTCAAGGTCCCATCTCGGCTCACAGATACAATGTGTTCCTCCTGTACCCAGATCACAGTGTCAAAGGACAGTCATAGTGGACAGGACATGGTAAATGAAGCAGAGGAAGTAGTTTAGAAGCCTGGGTCTGCACTAGGTTGAAGTATGCACACAATTGTCTTGTAATAATTCTCCTGGCAGCCTGAGACCCTGATCTGTATGCATTATGCATACTCTCCTCTCCAAACAACACACCGAACAATCTGTCTGCAGCCCAAGTCCCCCACCTGCACAGAGCTGCACATGTTCCTCTCTTTGATCAACAGAATATCTTTCTCTTCCCATTAACCTTCATCAAACATAGACAAGTTCCATCCAGTCATACTCTCTTCTCTCTGGATATGAGGGTAGTGGGATTGATCTGACCTAAACTGGTTTTGGATACATGTGTAATAAAGCAATCTATGTCACTATTTGGTGTGCACATAATTAAAAGTAGATACACTGTGGTAAATGACATATGCAGCAAGAAAGAGCGTATTTAAGCCAAGTCTGTCGATAACAATAGAGAAGCAACCACTCAGACCCTATACTCCTAGTAATCAAGCTCCTCCCTCTTTCAGACCTTATACAAGAAGCCCTAACCAATGATCTGGGGCCCTTCACTCAGGACAACACATCTTTTTGCTTGCTTGTATGTTTTTTTAGACAGGGTTTCACTGGGTAGCCTTGGCTGTCCTGGAACTCATTCTATAGACCAAGCCAACCTCGAATTCACAGAGATCCACCTGCCTCTGCCTCCAGAGCACTGGAATTAAAGGCATGCACCATCACTGTCAAGAGACAGCATATCTTACCTATGTATTATTTTGCTTTGAATAAAATTACCCCTCTGCTTTCACAATCTGTATATGCTTTTTTAAACTTCTAATTGAGGTGGGGAATGTGCACATGAATGGAGGTGCCCAAGGACAGCAGGGGCTTCAAGGTCTCCCTGGAGATACATGGGTGTTGAGAATTGAACTCTGGTCTTCTGGAAATGTTCTTAGCTGCTGAGCCAACTCTCTAGCCCATTCTGTATGTGCTTTTATTTAATTCCTGATTAAGACACCAAGAACTTAGAAACTACCTGGCTAAGATCTCCAGCTCCCTCCAGAGAGGGGAAGGTAAACATCAGAGACTTGGAAGATGTAAGAGGGTGAGGGATCCAGAACTGTGGAGTTGAGTAGCTCGAAAAATCTTGCCAGAAATTCATAACACTAAGAGGAGGTGCTTTTTATGCCCAGCACACCGATCATCAGGCCCAACACTGGAACTCAGTCCCAAGTACCGCAATCTTACTATTTGTCACTGAGATTAGATACCTAATGCATCCAGTCTCCCAGATCCTCCCAGCCTTCCCAGGGAATGCTGGTGACAGCCATCGCCTTACCACTGCAACCACAGTGCTCACGGCACTCTGGTGACCTGGGAAATGGCCAAGTTGCTGTCCTGCCTCTGGGTTCCAGAGTCCTACAGAGCCATCACTGGAGCAGGAGATCTGCAGTCACAAGTGAGAGGAGCATCATCAACATTCCTCTGGCGATTTGTTCGTGTGGCTTTGAGACAGGGTCTCACTATGTAGCTCTGCTTGGCTTGGAACTCACAAGGCTAAGATTAAAGTACAGCACCATGCCCGGGTCCTTTCTTATGTCTTTTTTAAAACAATGTAAGACTTCTACATAGGGGAAAAAAAAATCACAAACCCTAAGAAAATAATCTGAGATTAGTTTTATGCCTTAGGAGCAAATAAATCACAGTGACATCTTTCACTCTCAGGCATTCCAAAGCTGTACGGATAGTACTGTATCTGTTAGAACATGGGCTTTGGGCTAGGAATGGCTGCAGTTGCAAACTTGCCCTGTTCTAGCAGATATGAATTTGCTCCTCATCCCCCAGATCAGGTAGCTCACAATGGCCTGTAACTCCAGCTTCTGGGGACACACCATTCTCTTCTGGCCTCCACAAACACAGCACTCACATGCACAAACCCACACACAGACACACAGATAATCTTTTTAAAGAATTATTTTTAAAGATTTATTTTATGTCTACGAGTACACTGTAGCTATCTTCAGACATACCAGAAGAGGGCATTGGATCCCATTACAGATGGTTGTGAGCCACCATGTGGTTGCTGGGAATTGAACTCAGGACCTCTGGAAGAGCAGTCAGTGTTCTTAACCACTGAGCTATCTCTCCAGCCCATAAATAATTTTTTTAACATAAGTCTTAAAATAAAAAAAAAAAACTAACATTCTCTAGAGCAGCGGTTCCTAGTCTGTGCGCCATGATACCTCGGGGAGGGGGGGTGTCGATATTTACATTATGATTCATAACAGTAGAAAAATTACAGTTATGATGTAGTAACAAAAATAATTTTATGGTTGGGGTCACTACAACAAGAGGAACTGTATTATAGGGTTAAAGCATTAGGAAGGTTAAGAACCACTGGGCTAAAGGAGTGGCTAGATGACAGAGCACCTGCCTAGTATGTGTAAGGCCTTGGGTTTGATATCTAACACCAAAAAGGCAGAGGGGCTTTCTTGTCAGACCGTTTATTGGCTCTAGGATGGCAGGATGGCTTGGTGGGTAAAGCTGCTTGCCACCAAGCCTAACAACCTAAGTTCAATCCCTAGAAATCCATATGTAAAAGGAGAGCACTGACTACTTACTGCAAGTCGTCTTTTGACCTCCATACTATGGCACAATGGCACACTCATCTGTACACATGCACAGATGCACACAAAAGTGTAAGGAATTTAAATAAAAAGAACACTTCTTAGCTCAGCTTTACCCCTGGCATGACCTTGAAAATGCTTTTCTAGGGTCAATTTTCTTCTCTGAGAAGGAGTCATAAAGGTAGGGTCTACCTTACAGAGTATCATAAAGATTAATTGTGGTAATAAATATAATTGAGCTTTTGTCAAACCTTACATAGACAATGTACATATCCAGTAAATGTTAGCATGACTATCATTAATAGATGCTATAAAAAGTTTGAAATGAAGACTATTGTTTTCCCTTGGGCCTTGCTTACTCTTTCCCATCCCTTCACTCACCAGGATGTTGTCTTTGCTCCATGTACAGCCAGTGATCCAGTCACGATGACAGGATGAGAAAGTGTGAATCAGGAGAGGGGCTTGGGTTATCTTCACATCCCAGCAGAGGAGATTCTAGGAGAGTAAGGACAAGAATCCTTCAGGACACAGACCACAAGAATGCCGAAGCCATTTCAGATACAAGTTGTTTGTCTCTGACAATGTTCCATGAGGCCTAAGCTGGCCCTGGACTACCTCCCTAGCTAACGATCTGATCCTCCCACCTTCATCTCCTAAGTATTGAGATTAAGATAGGTACCAACAGACCTGGTTTCAGGCAGGAAGTTTTAAAGAAGAGAGGAAGTGTAAGGCATGCGGGTAGACCCACCTGCAGATCTGACAGATCAAAAAGTTCAAGAAAGCAATGGGAAACAGACCATTCAGGAATCTAGGATCACAGAGGCTATGGGGCCCCAGGGTTACGTCCTTCTGTAGCTCACCCGATCCCTGCCCGCTGTGGCCAAGATGCCTCCATCAGGGCTAAAGCTACAGCAGCACACTGGCCCCTCATGTCCCCGGAGTTCAGCACCACAGGGTAACTCTTCCACTGCATGAGGCTGTGTCAGCAGCTGTCTGGGCCACAGTCGCACCGTGAAGTCCTCTGCATGAGTGAAACAGAAAGGGAAGTGCTTTCTGGAAGCAGAAGCAAGGAAACCACAGAGCAGAGCCCAGTGACCACCCAAGTACAGCTCCAAGGAAGAGGGATGGTGAGTCACCAGGACGTGCAGGGATCCTGGGCAAGGGTCAGTCACTACACAAGCACATAGCATTGGAATGCCCTGTACCCAGCTTCTGAATGGCAGGACTCAAGCCAAGAGTGTGGCTCCGTGTGTGTGTGTGTGTGTGTGTGTGTGTGTGTGTGTGTGTGTAACTGCCTACTACACTTCTCACAGCTGCTGCAGCAGAGGTGTTTTCTCAAGGCCTCAATTCACCTTCATTTCACCATCTGTGAGGACCAAGCCTCTGCTACCAAAGGACTAAAACCATTCTGCTCTCCCTGCCCTCCTCCCTCTAGAAACAGTCTAGAACAGTTATGTAAGAGGAACACTGGAGCCATAATGCCTTTGTGCACTGTGTAAGGATTACCCTTGTGTTATTCAAATGCTGACTTTCCTGACCCAATATCTAGTTGCAATCCAGACATGGCATTATAATGTTTATTCCAAGTATCTCCTGTTTCAAGTTTGTGCAAATATTGCTCCTCATTTATTCTCTGACTTGTCAATAAAGCTGATTAGCCAATAGCTGAGCAGAAGAGAGAATAGGGCTGGACTTCTGCCAGGGAAGGAGAGAAAGAAGAAAGAAAGAGAGAGAGAGGGAGACAGAGAGACAGAGAGAGGTGAAGAAGAAGAGGAAGAGGAGAAAGAAGAGGAGGAGGAAAAGAAGGAGGTAGAGGAGGAGGAGGAAGAGGAGGAAGAGGAAAAGAAGGAGGTAGAGGAGGAGGAAGAAGAGAAGGAAGAAGAGGAAGAAGAGGAAAAAGAAGAGGAAGAGGAGGAGTGAGCTATGAGGAGAAAGTAGCATGGGAAAAATATCTGAAGCAGAGAGAGCTTGAACAATATTAAACTGCAAGTGTCATGGGCACTTTGGCTGGGAGGTGGTCAGATAAGGTTAGAGGTTTACAGTACACTAATAATTCAGCTATGCGTTATAAGCATATAATATAAAAATACAGCCCTTGTCTCAATTACCTGGGAGTAGGTCAGGGTTAGAGAAAAACTGTCACCCTTTTAAAATTGCATTAATAATTGACACCCAACATGTGGCAAGAACTTGCATAGATTCCAAACATGGGACAGAAATCTAAACTTAAAAAAAAAAAAAAACAGGCTTTAAGCCTTAACATTTCCTGGAGAAAATGAGATCAAGCACTCCCAGAGGCAATTTCCTAGAAAAAGAGCAAAAAACCAAAGAAGCCAAACGTTCAAGGCTTTTTGAATAGACCCCCACAGTACATTAAAAGCCCAGAGAAACAAAGCACAGGCAATTCTTTTAAGAAGCCCCAGCTTCGTAAAAAACTAACTCTTCAACAGAATACATTCAAGCGCATTTTAAGGTTGTAAATAAACACTGTATGTGCAAGGATTTTGATAAGCATGCGAAATTACAGTTATAAATTGAAGGGTGGTACCAGCAAACTCCAAAGAAATGACTCAATAACCCTGCTCAGTAGTACCTGAGGCAGCAGCCAAGAGTTCCTGGGAGGCGGCCAGTCCCAGCACAGGCTTCTGGTATCTCGATACTAGCCACAGGGAATGAAAGGAGTTTCCCTTGAGCAGCCAGCCATGCAGGGATCCATCTTCTGCACCACTCACCAAAACACTAGGGTTCAGCCAGACCAGTGCAGACACTGCCACATTTAGCACTTGATGATGAGACCCCTGGGAACCTAGAAAATGGAAGAGAACATGAAAAAAAGACATTTAGGGAAAGAAATGAAGCAGTAGAAAACTTTTTTTCCAAGGGTGTAAACCCATCTACTCCCCTTCTGATACCTGAAGAAATTTTGTAGATTTTAATGCCATCTTCTCGGTACCCAACAGCCACCAGGTTGCTGTCTGGGTTGAGAGCCACAGAAAGCGCAGGAGAAAGAGGAAGAGAGCCCAGGCAACCCCTGGGCCGTCCAAGAAATCCTGACCATAACTGAGCCTAGGATGCAAGAAAAGTTTAAAGGTACTTACCTCCACTGTGTAGTTCCCCACCCCTTGACATCTTCCTTCAAAAGACTTCTCTCTCTCAACATCCAAACTCCTCCAGGATCCTCAACAAAGGCCCCCAGCATTACTTAAATACTACTTGTGCTACTCTGTCCCTGAACCCACAGACCCTCTGGAAACTCACCTTGCCATCTTCTCCAGCTGTCAGGAACCGGCCTCCAGCATGGAAGAAAAGAACAGCAGAGACACAGCCACACTGTGCAGGGAAGGCTGCCAGCCGTGCACCCTCTCGCCAGGCCCACAGCTCCACTGTCCCATCTATCCGGCCTACAGCCACAACCTTCCCAGGTGCATTGAATGCCAGAGTGCAGACAGAGGGTCCTGGGGCCCCTAGTTCCTAGACGTGGGTGGAAAGATAGAAACAACAGATCTCAGTGTGGGCTCTGAATGACATGCAATGTGGCTGTCATTCTCCACTTTCACCGTGGTCCTGCATGTTCTCCTGAAGAGCGACAGGACCATCTTACCTTGGTGACTTTGAGTCCATCTGCCTGGAAGAAGGTAATGCTGCCAGCCCAGTTGCCTGTGGCTACCACTTGCCCCTCTGGGTGGAAGGCAGTGCAGTTCAGAGACTTGGGATGGGTGTATTGGAAAGCCAGCTGTCCCCGGACTGTGTCCCACAGCTGGAGAAGAAAAAGAGGAGAAATCAGGGTGCTGGACACCAATGACAGAGCATCTCAGCCCTCAAGCTCCCGGGAGTCATCTTATCTAGTCCCCTGCCTCAGCAAGGCTTCCCTAGGACAGGTAGTCATGCCATGTTGAGCAACAAAATCAGTTCTGGCTCATGGTTGAAGTTCAATTTTTGTTACCTTTAGGTATCCTCCCAAACACACAGTGGCTAGCAGGCGGCGGTCTGGGCTCAGGCAGCAGCCAGTGATTTGGTACTGGTGGGCCTTGGTCTGGAACACCCTGCCCCAGGAAGAGAAAGTCAGGGTCATCTGGCAATTGGGCTCCCTCCTCACTCATTTCTCTCAGGGCTTCTCACTCAGAGTATTGGAAAGTCTTACCAACAACCATGTTTCAGGTCCCAAAGCTCCAGGAGCCCATCGAAGGTAGTAAGGAAAAGGGCAGTGTCCGAGAGGAATGCAAAAGAAGAAATCCCGTCACAGCCGCTCACCAGAGCCTTCTCCTCCTGAAACAGCCAGTAGGGAAGTGTGGCTCAGGTCCTCCAAATCCTACCCATTCTAGGCCCCAGCCATAAAAAGGAGGCCAAGGCAAAAGGGGTTTAGGTCCTTGGCTGTCTACATTCCCAGCCCAAATACAGGTTCAAGTGTACCTCATAATCAAAGCGGGAGTGACCTTTTCTCACTCCAAGGGCCCATACCATAGATTTTCAGGGTTCTAGGGAAAGGGTATTACATATATGCATGTGTACAGGGGTAAGGGGGGTGGTTTGGGTAAGAAGAGAAAGCTGTGGCTGTCTCCTCTCTCCAGTCTGGTATTACTCACTGCTGCAATCATGCACAGCCATTTACAGAACCACTCTCTCCTGTGTCTTTGCTGAGGCTCCCTGTGTAAGCCAGAAGGCCTGCCTTTCTCCATCCAAGGTGTCCTCTATCTACACAGCTCTCATAGACCTTATGATGTCAACAACTAGGTCCTGGTTCTGAGCTCTGTGTTCCTCAAACACTAAGTCACGCGCCTTGAGTGGAAGCTGCTCAGTAATGCTGCACAGCCATATCTCTTGTTTGGGTTTCATTTTGCTCTACACAGTCCTAGCCAGAGAGCCCGGGCTGGCTTTGAGCTCACAATCCTCCTGTCCCAGTCTCCCTGATACTGGCATTACAAGTGTGAACTATCATACTGAGCTGTTGTTGAATGAGCCTTTGAGTAAGATATCTAATTTGATATGAGTTCAATGAAGTTGCTGAGTCAACCAGGGTATTGAGGATGTGCTTGGCTTGCCTAGACCTTCAGGGCAATACGTGAGGGTTTTCCTGACAGTCACTCTGTCTTGCCTTCAGCATCATACCTGCCAGGTTTTCAAGTTCAACAGGTAAATTGTCCCACTGGCGGTCCCCACAGCTGCTCTTTGCCCATTAGGGGAGAAGGCCACAGCGGTTGGGGATGAGGAAATTGTCAGAGACAAGCTAGAGCGGGAGGAAAAAATATAGGGAGAAAGAGGAAGTGAGGGGAAGAAAGCCAGTGGGAATCAAGTTCTGCATCTCTGTGTCTGCACCTTTCCTCTCTCCATGGTAGTTCTAGTCTGTCCTGCATTTTTCTCTGAAAGGGCCATTGCTCTGAAAAGCTTACCAGAGCTAGGCTCAAGGGTCTTACCTTTGCTGACCCTTCAAGGTCTGAGGTTTATTGATCCATTTCAGTGTAAACTGCTTGTGCCATCGCTGGGTGAGCAGAGGGGCCTGGCAGCAAACAGGTGACTCTTCAGGCTGGCTAGCTGCCTGCTGGAGCAGGAGCAAAGGATACTGGGTAAGGAGTGACGCCTGTTGTCTCAGGAAGGTATGGAATACAGCGACATCCGTCTCTGGGTGCTGCTGGTTCACTTCAGGCTTTGAAGAGGCTATTTTTAAAGAGAGAGAGAAAGTGAGAGTAGCTGAGGAGATGACTCAGCGGGTCGGAGAGCTCACTGCACAAGCGTGAAGACCTGAGTTCAGATCCCAGCACCTACATAAAAAGCCAGGTGTGGCCACATGCACCCGTAACCCCAGTGCTGGTGCTGAGTGGGGCAGAGCAGGTAGAAGAACCACTGGAGCTTTCTGGCCATGAGCCTAACCAAAAACCAGTGAGCTCCAGACTCACTGAGAGACCCTGCCTCAGCAGAGTAAGGTGGAGAGCAACAGACAACTAACAGCTCCTCTGGCCTTTGTAGGTGACTGCATGCTGTATTCTCTCTTTCTCTTTCTCTCTCTCTCTCTCTCTCTCTCACACACACACACACATACATACACAATCATACACAAATATACTCAAACACACATACATACACACACTCATACACAAATATATATACTTAAATATAAAAACACACATATATTCACACAAACACATATATATACACACAAACACATACCACACACACACATATACATACTTACATACAAAAACACACATATACACCCTCACACAAATATACACTCACACAAACATATACACACTCATAAAAAAAACACACAAACATCTGCATACACACGCTCACACATACACGCAAACACCCGCACATACCAAGAGAATGGGAGTCAGAAAACACAGTATTTAAGTCTCTAAAGGAGTATCACCCTCTAAACCACATCAAGAACACCTATTCAAAACATAAAGCTTTGGGTTCCACTGAAGTCCCAGGGAAGTGAAATCTTGTGACCTTAGAATCTGAAATTTAAAAAAATTTCCTACATAATTTACTGTCTAGCATAAACTGAGAAACTCTCGTGAAGAGGTCTAAGCAAAAAGGTTTCCTAAGAATCATTTGCTGACATCTGGGGCATTTTTAGGTTGGAACGGAAATCTGGCTGTTGTTTACACCTCCCCTTGAGCAGGGTATCCCATATCTCAAAAGAAAGGATCCAATGACTTATCTCACCATAGAGCACATAAGCCTCCAAGAGGTCGGGGACTAGACCCACTTCCAGATACGCAGCTACCACATGGAGATTGGTAAGAAACTTTGCAAGGAGCCCATGGTTCCCGCTGTGGAGCTGGGGAGAGCAGATTGCATTCATTAGGAATGTAAAGGGCTGTGAGGAGGGATAGGCTAGTGTTAGACCATGCCTGTGCATCTAGGACTTACACCCAGGATCTGAGGGAAAGAACGGGAAGGAGGACATCAGGAAAACTCCAAGAAGGTAGAGGGAGTGTGTAAGGGGCTAAATGACACGGGTGGGGTGGGTGGGAAAGAATCAGAGAGCAACCTAAGAACGGTCCAAGCAGATGTGTGGACAAAGGAATCTAAGAGATGTGGGGACTCACCAAGTGGTAAGGTAAATCTTTCAGAGCCTCAGGAGGGCAACTTTGGAAGGTGCCTGAGGCATCAGGATCACACATCTTCCAGAGGTGAGCTGCAAGGACAGACATTGAGAAAGGCTTACTGCTGCAGCATATCTAAGCTCTTAGGCTGGAGCAGAGTTATCTACCCAGTGGCCAGTGTATGGTCTTGACCTCCAGGTCCACACCCCACACTCCTGCCCAGGCTGACTCTGGCTGTAATCACCTGCAATGAGGACATGCGCAGTCTTCTCTAGCCCCAGTCTTTTCCCATAGCGACGTTTAACTGCTGTCCTCAGAGGCCCATCAGAGAGGCAGAAACGGGCACCAGGGCGCTCCACCGGGCCCTCCCCTAGTAAACTGCCCTCAAGAGAAAAGGGGAGAAGAGTAAGGGAGGAGAAACAGAGCCAGTCAGTGAACGCGCTGGCACAGCAATGTGCTAGCATTCCCACTGAAGAATGGAAACTGGACAAGCAGCATTCAGGACCTGAGAGGCGAGTGTGGGGCTATATACCAAAGAACGGGGGGGTGGGGGGCGGGGGCGGGGGTGGGCATGAAGAAAGAATCTTATGATGTCCTAACAGGGTGAGGCTGCGGAGAGCTCAGCTGGGGCAGCATTACCTGCGTAGACTCTGGACAAGGTAGGCAAATGGACCCAAGGGGTAAGGGTTTCCACTGTGACTGGCAGCCACTGCTTCTTCCCAGCTCTTAGTCTCCTTGGGCAAAACCAACCATGTGCTCAGGACTGCATGCAACTGGTCCACAGTCAGACCTGAAAATGCAAATTCTCTGACAGCTCAAACCACACAGGGAGCCCATCTCCATTATACAAGACCCCTCCTGGCATCCCTGGCTAATATCCCAGCCAAACTAAGGTTAGACAATAGTTGAGTCCTCAGCCTCCCATCCTTCCCCAATCACTGACCACTACGTGTGACTTCAAGGGCAGTCAAAGCTCGAGGTAGGACATCATGGCCATGTTCTTGCTCCAAGGTGTTCAGGATGTGCTGCAGCAGCAGTGGGAGAGTGGCAGGCAGGGTTCGAAGTCTCTCAGACACCTGGGAATGAAAGAAGAGGAGGCTTTGTCAGGCGGCAGGGGGAAGGCAGACAAGTGACTATGGCAAGAGAAGATGGAGTCGAAAGAACTACAGTAGGAAGGAAAGAAAAGGTAAAGAAAAACACTTGAGAGAGAAGTCGGAGTCAGACGAAGATAGGGAATGGGTGACCAAAGTCAACAAAAGATGAAAGATGGTGTGATGGGTAATGTTAATTTACAACCTGACAGAGTCTAGAACCACCTGAAAGATGGGGTGCTAGCCATGCCTGTGGGGAATTATCTTGAGGAAGACCTGCCCATTATGGGTAGCATCACTCCCTGGATGAATCTTGGACTAGAGGAAAGCTGAGGAACTGGAGAGATTACTCAGCAGTGGAGAGCACTGGCTGCTCTTGCAGAGCAGCTGTAACTCCAGTTCCTGAGGATCTGATACCCTCTTCTCACCTCTCTGGGTACCAAGCATATACACAGTATACATATAGGTTGGACACTCACACATAAAGTAAAATGAATAGATTTAATAATATTTTCAAAGTAAGGAAGCTGAGCAACAACATGCATTCACCCTCTGCTTCCTGATTCAAGCTCCTCTTGGCTTCCTCACCATGATGAACTATACCCATGAACTGTGAGCAAGAAATGCTTACACCCTTAAGTAGGCTTTGTCAATGTTTTATCACAGCAATAGAAAATAAAACTAAGAAAAAATTATACCAGAAGTTTCAGAGAGTAACAGTACTTTATCAGAAAGTAGGATAGGGAATACTTGTGAAATATTTTAGTCAAGAATCAAGTTTCATTTTGCTCATGTCCTGGGAACCTGAGATTGAAAGACCTATCCACTATGGGTGGCATCATTCCCTTGGCTGATATCCTGCACATTAAAAATGTGTTGAGCACAGCATTTATAGCTTTCTTTCTCAACAGCAGGTGCAATGTGACCAGTTGCTCCAAGCACCTTCCACTATAACAACCCTGCAACAACAGACTACAAACTCCAACTGTGAGCCAAATAAAGCCTTCCTTCCTGAGCTGCCTGTGTCAGGGTATTTTATCATAACAACAGAAAGGCAACTAAGACAGGCATGGATGAGCAATGGAGCCCAAAAAGGCCAACAGCAATGGGAAATACATTAAGACTTTGTGGATAAGGAACGACTAACCTGTTCATACAGTGTGAAGAGCCTCAGGTAGTCAGTGACGAGGTGCAGGTACAATGGCAGGCTTGAACCCTGCTTTGCCAGCAGCAGCCGCATCTGCTCAGATGTAGAGGATTCAGCATTATTGAGGAGATTAGAGAAGCTTACCACAGCTGTCTCTGCTACAGCACCAAGCTAACTGTCAAGTGTATCCTCCTCTGAGAGTCTAACTAAAGGGTGGGCATATAACATCACCTCAAAATACATACCCTGCTCCTGCATCCCAGCTACATCCTGTCAGGAAAACTTCTACACCTCATCCTAAGACCCCTTAGCCATAACTCTACTCATCCTCCCTAGGGAGACTGTTCACCTTGGAAAAGTCTGAGTGGTCTTATGAAACATCGGCACTATCTTATGAACAATTTCCCCTGGCAGAGAGGTCTGGAGAAATCCAAATCCAGCAGCTGCACCCTCATGACTCCCTGATGCAACCCACACCCCCACAAGCCCTGGTCTGGGTCCAACCTGGTTGTTAAAAGGTGACTCCTCCAGCCGTTTCCCATACAGTGCTAGCTCTTCTCTCACAAGCTGAGCCCTTGAAGATGGGACCAAAGAGCCCAAGGCCACCACATAAGCACCCTGACTTTGCTGAAGGGTCTCACTCAGGCCTGAGTCACTAGACACACTCAGCACCAGGTGTACTCGCTGTGACATTTGCACAAAGGAACAGAAAGGTAGAGGGAAAAAAAGAACAGCATTAGAGAGGTCCCTACCCCGATCACCCATGGCACCTTTCTCTCTAACCTTCCTCCTGTCTCAGCTTGTTCTCACACTCACCCGAGGAAGAGTCTTGGGGATCCAGTCTGAAATCAGCTGTCCATTATGATCCACCACCTTATCTGCCCCATCGATGATAAGGACCAAAGTCTGACCAGGTTGCAGCAACTGAGCAGATTTGAGGAGCAGCTTCTGCTGCAGTTCCCACACCAGGCCTCTGTGTGTGAAGAGGCCAAAGTCAGAGGCAGGGAAGCGGGACGGTAACACAGCTGGCTACTCTTGAGGTACACACCTGTAAGTGCTGGGGAGCGCACTCAGGTCTCCCAATTTTTGACGCAGATGGGTACAGAGGCGTCTGAGGAGGTTGAGAGCAAGACACTGGTCAGGGCGGGCTGCTGAAAAGTGGAAGAAAACGAACGGGGGCATGTTGGGCTGGTCAGGAACCTTCAGGGCAGACACAAGGGATGCCTGCGTGGGGCAAAACAGAACCATGTTTACATTTCAGTATATGCACAGTCTCCTTGCCCTACCTCCTTAGCTCCAAAGCTCTTCCTTCTGCCCGAGGCTCATACCAGGAAGGCAGTCTTTCCCTGTCCCGCCTGCCCAGTCACTAGGCTCAGTCTCCCATGGGGCAGCATCAGCTGCTGCACTGTATCCTGAAGAAGGCGTGGTCGTGCAGGACTCAGTGGGTTCTTCAGCTGCTGGAAGCTGGTCTGGATCAAATCATCTTCTGAGACGGATGCTGGCTTCTCCAACTGGGCCCCTGGCTGAGGGTCACAGAGCGTTGATTATGTCTCCATGTTTCTTGGGACCTCTTGGCCTAGACCCCAGCAACTTGCTTCCCACTCAGGACTACCAAGCTCGCTCCTCTCTGTCATCAGCACTCCTTCTGACCTGCAGGTAGTGCTTCTGGATCATACTCCACACATCCTGGAGAACCAGCTGCCCAAACTCCTCCAGGCCCCCAGCATAGGGCCGACCAGCTGCTACACCTCCCCATTCACAGGAGTACCTGCAGGGAAAGCATAACCCCAGCAGTCAGAGTAAGCCTGGCTCCCTGCACCACACTTCCAATGGATAGGTGCCTCCACCTCTGGCAGCTCACCTGCGACAGGTAACCTCTTTCTGTTTGTGTAGGTATCTCTTCAGTTCTGAGACTCGCTGTGCAGCCTCTTCTGACTCAGAAATAAAGTCAGGTTTCCAGGCATCTGGCACAGAGCTGACCACAAAAGACACCCCAGGGGTGGAGCCGGACTCAGACCCTCGTCTCCTGTCATCGGCTAGGAGATAAGGCTCTGGCCCCCTGAAACTTTGCATTCAGGTTGAGATCTGACTTGGGGCGGCAAAAGCATTCTCTCTATGGACTGTTTCTCTTTCAGCAATGAATGCTGGGGGTTGAGGGCAGGATCCGTCTGGCTTTCTGTGGAGGAAATTTTAACCTGGTAGCAACAGAAGGTACCTAAGGAAATCAGGATCCCGGAAGTAGATGAGAGCTTGGGCAGAGGGCTTCGAGCGTTGGCCATGGTTCAGGAATTGCATCACTTCCATCTCTGTCACAGAACGCCCTGAAGGGTACTGCTGGGTCTACATGGAGAGGGAAGACACAGGCAGGGTCAGTCCCAAGCATCAACCCATCTCCAGAAGCCTTCAAATGCCTGAGGTCACCTTTATCTCAGTAAGCTTGTGTGCTCTCCCCAGGGACAGGCAGTAAAATATGGCTACCAGCTAATGAATATCAAATGATTCACAGGTGCTGGGTATTTTAAAATACATTTTCCCCCTCAGTGTTGAAGATTGGATTCAGAACCATATATGTGGTAGGCAAGTATTCTACCAGTAAGCTATATTCCCAGACCTTTGTGTGTGTGAGAGAGAGAGAAAGGGTCTCACTATGTGACCCCTGGCTAACCTGGAACTTACTATGTAAACCAGGATAGTCTCAAACTCAGAGAGCCTTCTGCCTCTCACTTCCCAGTACTGGCATTAAAAGCATGAGCCGCCATGCCCAGCTTCCCTGACCTTTTTCATTATATTCTGAGACAATGTCACATAGTTGCCCAGGCTGGCCTGGAACTCCTGATTCTTTTACCTAAACAATCTATCTGATGACAAAAGCTAAGCAGATCAACCTTCAACCCTCTGAGAACCCAGGGAAGACATCTGTCTCAAAGGAACTGCTTCACCTAGGTACATCTGGTACAGTTGTTGGCCAGTATTTCACATCAAGACTCAAGGACCTACTGGTGCATCATCCCAGGACTCCTGTCAGGGGCTTTATCCCACCCCTGTTTCTTCCCCAGCCCCTCCAACCTTGTCTGCCTTACCCAGTGAAAGTGGGGATGGTCAGGCAGATCATAGTTGGAGGGAACGTAGCCATAGCGGGCACCCAGAATCCCCACGAACAGCTGTGAGTTCTCCACCTCCCCAAGGCACACTTCCAGTTGTCTGTCGGCATGATTATGGGAACAGGAAGGAGTCACTGGGGGTCAGTCTTAAGCAATACTAATACAGAGGAGGCACCTGAATCACGCTGGGATAATGTTGCTGTTGGTATCTAAAAGGCAAAGGCCCGCCCTCACCCTCATTTATTCTTGTAGTCCTGATCCTGGTCCCTTGAGTTCCACCACCCCATCCTCTCACCCTACCTAGCCCCTCTTCCCTGTGGTCCTGCACCTGTTCCTACGGGTCTCTTCCTCTGTGATGCCCCAGCGCAGGTCAATGGCGTGAAGACTGATTCGGTGGGGGAACACTCGGGCCTGCAGTGCCGGCAGAACAGATCTCATCAGCAGATCTCGTTCCCCATGCATGTCACGGAAAGTGGATGAAATGAAAAGCCGAATGTTCCGCCATCTGGGGACGAGTGGAGGGTTAGGCTCAGCCGAGGGATCAGTCCCCATCTCAAGTCCATAGTTATGGGTGCAACAGACACTTGTGCACTTGACATAAATCCTATGACAGACAGGAGTCTTACAGGCCTCCAGATAATATTCTAGCTGTGGGATCAATTGCAGAAACCTGAGATTTGAGTCATACTTGCCATTTCTTATGTGCCTCTTTCTTCAGAAAAACCATTATTAAAAAGTCACAATTCAATCAATGTAATACTTTGAGGCAAGCCTTAACCATATTCTTAACTATGTTTAAGAAATTAAAACAGCCAGAGCCTGTGCCTTAAATCTTTTGCCTAAGCCCTGGCTATGTATGTCAACATGGAGCCTGCTTCCTTCCCTACATTCAGACTTTTTTTTTTTAATCTCTAGTAAAGCAAGGAATAGGTTCACAATCTGACAGTGAAGGAAAGAAAACAAATTCTTTAGTAAACATAACAAATGCAAATGCCCCTGTAGCAGATAGAATGGCAGTCACAGGATTTCTCCAGGTTCTGATGGTAACCCTCCCAGTTCACAAAGTCACATAACTCAGACTGACCCATGCTGCGAAACAGGACCCAAGGGACCAGGGATGTTCTCCGCCAGTGGCCGGAGAGAGGGGACCTGTGTCTTCCATGGGGGTGGAGGGATCTTGTATATTTTATCTAGTTGGCCCACATGTTCCAGAAGACGAGAGGCTCCATGCTCGGCAATGAACCTAACAAAAAGCAAGATGGAAACAGAGTATTAGAGCTCAGAACCAGGACGGTGTCCCAAGAGAAACAGGCAACGAAGACGTAACTGCCCAGTTCAGTGGCTCCCCTTAGGAAGACAGCCATAGAGCCGACCTGGTATGTCATGTTCACAGTTCTCAACCTGAGCTAGGGGGAATCACAAGTTGAGGTGATCCTGGGCCATAGAATGAGACCCCATCTCAAAAAACCTAGCCAGACAAAAAAGAAAACCATAAGCCAGGGAAGCACACAGAAAATAAGTGCAGTGTCTGCAGAGGCATCAAATGTCTGTTGTTGCAGAAGACTGTTGGATCCCTTTGGAGTTGGATGGAATTACAGGTAGTTGGGAGCCACCTGGCATGGGTACTGAGCACCAGATCCACGACCTCTGCAAGAGCAGTATGTATTCTTAACTGATGATCCAATCCTCCAGCCTGCTTTTCCTCTTTCTCATTGAATATAGCATAAACTTGGATGTATATAACACAGAGCTGAGGCACCATCTTTAGCCAGTAGGTAGAGGCCATTAAGGGTGATCAAGCATTAAGACAGTAAAGTCCTTATCACACTGTGTTGCCGATAAGCCCCTCCAGTGCTCACTCTGTACTCACTTCAGGATCCCGTCAGTGCAGCCTGAGAGCGTCACATCATTGGGATTCAAATTTGGTGATCTGCCAAAGAAAGAAGTAGTCACTCAGCACCAAAATTGATGCCTGGAGCCAGGTGTGGTGGATTATACTGAAATCCCAGCACTTGCCCTGGAAGACAGGAAGACAAGTTCAAAGCCAGCCAAGGCTATATACCTAGACTCTACTCCCCAATATCTTAAGATACACACCTCATCTCTGTGTAACAGTTTTGTGATCAATAACTGTATTACCCTGAGTGCACCCAATCTTGTCTTAATAAAATTATGTGGCCAGAGAACAGCTCAGTGATAGGATGGATGCCTAGAAGGAACAAGGCTTTGGGTCCAGTATCTAATAGCACACAGGGGCAAAAAGGCTTCAGAGAAGGTCCTAGAAACTTAAATTCAATAGAACTAATAAAGCAAGAAGGCTAGAGACAAAAGATCAAACAAGTGAGACTTTGGCAGGAGCACACAGGAAATATGGACCACTGTCTCCAGACACTGGACAAGAATGACCAGCATCCTTACATGTACAGTATTTTCTGTAGGAGGACACCAACAAAGAGGCACTTGGAGTTCACATGCTGCCAGATAATCTGTTTAGCTACATTCAGCGGCTCGGTATCCATCATTTGGCCAAACAGGATGACCCTGTCAATCTGTAAGATGAAAAGAGGAGAATGCTGAGACCAGGGATCAAGGCTGAAACAGACGTGGATGAGCGCAGAGCATCAAGATGCCTAAGGATTGAAGGGTGAGAGCTCTGAGGGGAAAGGAAGCTGCAGCCCCTAAGAATGGTTAGAAGGGATGCCACTACACCCCAACCTACGGTGGCATCAAAGCATCATGGACAGCAGGGATGGGAAGAAAAGAAGAGAAGTGAGGGGTAGTGTTGTGGCGCTCATTCAGGCTCATGAGAGACGAGGGTTCACTTTGTGAAACTTTTTTTTCTTTTTGAGACAGGGTCTCTGTGTAGTCCTGGCTGTCTTGGAGCTTACTATGTAGACCAGGCTGGCCTTGACCTCACAGAGATCCTCCTACCTCCTATTTCTGCTGGGATTAAAGGAGTGTGCCACCATGCCTGGCTGTGGGTCAGCTCTTAAGTATGGCTATTTTATATTTATGGGTGTGGGCTTTGAGCATGCTAAGCTAAGCATATTCTCTACCTGGCCATTTTAAACATTCAGTTTGATAAGTAAAGGGTTTATGGATATTGTTCAAGGTGAAGCACTTGCCCTGACTTCAGTTCTAAACACTACAGTATTTCTATTATATTTAAGACGATGCTTATACCTTCTCGAAATGCATCAGCTTCTAATTATCTTACGACATCTCCATCATCTAACCCTGAGCATATTTACATCTCGGTACTGTGGAATACAATCAATAACAAGCTCCTGAGACACCTCTACTTCTGCATAGCTCTATTCAACAGCATAATGCTGGTAGCTTGAAGGCTGCCATGTGGAACAATGTATACCATGGGAACTAGCAAACATTATTAAACAACACTCCTATTTTCCATTTATCATTAAAGGTTTAGGAGCACAGCCCTGTCCGGGACTACACTGAGCCGTGAGCTGATGAGAGCTCTGCAAAGTTTGGTGGATCATTTAGAAAGGTCAAGAAAAGGGAGGCAACTGAACACATATCCCACATCTGTGAGCCCAGCACTTGGGAGGTGGAGGCAGGAGAACCAGGTATGGAAGGCTAGCCTCAGCTACAGGAGACAACAAACAGGAGCAGGTTGTCAGGGAAATGCTAGAGGGAGTTTCATAGGAACTGAGTGGGACTCACAGGGGTCCTTTGGACAGCCAGAGACAGCAGGTACTTCCCAAAAGTGTCCAGCGGCCACTCATTATTTTCTTCTAACTCCTAGAGCAAAGAAACTTGGGTTACGAGGTTGGGCTGAGGTGTCAATGCCCGGCTTTGGATGTAGTTTGAATGTATCCCCCCCATTGGTTTCTGTGTTGAAATTTGATCCCACTGTGTAGTAAAAATAGGGGCTTGGCTAGACCCTAGTATTGATAGGCGAGGCCCAGCAAGACGTCCTTAGGGTATTATAGAAGCACTCTTGGAAGGTGCTAAGGTATCTCTACATCCCTACAAACATAAGTTGTAAAAACTTGAACCTGAACCAGAACCCAAATTATCAATCACTTTCTCCTTGTTCAAGATGTAATCGTTGTCTTCTGAGTGTGTTTCCACACACCTCCTGCCAAGAGATCCAGATCTCAGAGCCAGTCAGTGCCGGCAGTGCCATACCCTCCAGCCTCAGGAACTGTGAGCAACAAAAACATCTTTCCCTTATGAAGCTATTTCATTATGGAAATGAAAGACTAATATAATCAATAAAAAAGCAAGTGTCGATTTGTTCGAAATTTGTTTGTCTGTGCTTCATTTTCTTTTCTCCCTTGAGAGAATGTCTCCCCATGGAGACTTGACTAGGCTGTTTCTGAACTCAAAGAGATCTGCCTGCCTCTGCTACTCAAGTGCTGGGATTAAAGTTGTATGCCACCATGCCCAGCTTATATGCTACAGAGAGACAGAGATAGAGGGGTGTGTGTGTGTGTGTGTGTGTGTGTGTGTGTGTGTGTGTGTGCATACATACAGAGAGAGAAAGAGACAAAGAGAGAGAGAGAGACAGAGAGACAGAGAGAGAGAGAGACAGAGAGAGAGAGAGAGAGAGAGAGACAGAGACAGAGAGAGAGAGAGAGAAAAAGAGAGAGACAGAGAGCGCACTATGTATCCCGGGTTAACCTCAAACTTGCATTTCTCCTGCTTCTGGGATGGAAGGTGTGCACTATTACACCTGGCTATTCACGCCTTCATCAATTATTTGAGATGAGCCCGGCCTTCTGTCACTTATACATTTCTGGATAGCAGGGCTGTGTTTCTGACCTGGACTTGAGCCTGAAGTTTGACGGCAGTTTTCAGGATACCTTCATCGGCTGTAAGTACTGGTGTCTTCACAGAGCCTCTCCCACACAACAAAACAGTCACCTGCTCTGCCCGAGCCATCATCATTCCGATCAACAGCAGCACATAGTTCAGAGGAGGCTGATGGAGCAGAGCATCATCAGGGGAAAAAAAGTTAGAACCCACCTTTGCCTCCCCAGTTCTAGAGGCCAAACGCCTGGTTTGGGGAAATGAAAGACTGAGGGTCTCTCAGGAGGGGTCATCTTCAGCAGCCCTCTGGAAGAAGTGACTTGGGGGGAACAGGGAGAAGTCAGAATCCTTGCCCAAATCAATACTGGCTCACAGCAAAATGGGTGTGAGATATACTTGTGACAGAAATTCAGAGATTGGAATTCGCTAGCCAAACTTGAAATATTAGTACTATGATCCATAAGCAAGACTGACTAAAACTGTTCCAGGGCACCAACAACTGGCACTTGGAAGCAAACCCACACCATTTCTTTCAGTTTGTGCTCAGAGAACCAGAGAGAAACAAAACTCTCTCAAGACCCAACATCCTGCCAGCCCCTCAGAAGATGTATTATTTTTTTCTTTACCCCTTGTGAGTGACTTTTGGGACAGAGACTGTCAGCATTTGCATCTGTAAGATAGACTAAGAGAGTTCGGCCAGGCATCGGGGCTAGGTTGTGCTTTACAGAGAGGTTCACAGCTGTTTCCAGCGCCTGGCGATACCGATCCAGCAACACAACATCACAGCTCCATTGTCTGCAGCAAGAGAAGACATAGACACGAGGCTCAGAAGCTTGTCCGCCTGTGACTCTGAAGCAGACGGAAAGACAAAACCTTCAGTACTAAGTCCTCTCTCTCCCTCTTTAGGCACTATCCCATCCTCCCACAGCCTACTCCACTGCTGAGACAGAAACTTTCCTTTTCTCCATACCACAGGACTCTTACACAGACCACGGCAGGCAAGGCGGTGCTGAAAGCACCGGCCATGCTCATCTGGACTTACTCTAAGAGGCGAGGCTTAACTGCTACAAGCTCATTAAGGGGTATTAATTTTCCAAAATCATTTTATTACTTTGTATGGATGGGTGTTTTGCCTTCATGAACAACTGTGCACCACCCATGTGCAGTACCTGCAGAGGGCAGAAGATGGTGTTGGATCCCCTAAGACTGGGGTTAAAGACAGCTGTGAGTTACCACGTGGTGAGTGGGATTCAAACCCAGATTTTCTGATAAAGCATCCAGTGTTTTTTTGTTTTGTTTTTAATTTTTATTTATATATTTGTTGTTATAGGCTATTGTTTTGTTGCTTTAATACAGGCTATTTCCTCACATAATACATCCTGCTTATGGATTCCTTCCCTCCACTCTTCCCAGTTCCTCTCCACCTTCTCCCCTAGCCAGATTCACTACTCCATTTCTGTCTATTAAAAAAGAACAAGCTTCTAAGAGATAATGAAATATAACAAGCTAAAATATGAGATAAAACAAGAACTACCACACCGAAGTTGAACAAGACAAACTAAGAGAAGGAAAGAGCCCGAGAGAAGGAATGAGAATCAATGATCCACTTACTCAAAACTTCACGAGCCCCACAAAAACACTAAACTGGAAGCCATAATATACACACAGAGGACCTGGGGCAGACCCATGTGGGCACTGGGCATGCTGCCTCTGTCTCTGTGAGTTCATATGAATTTTGATTACGCTGACTTGGAGGCCTTGTTTTCTTGGTGTCCTCCATCCCCTGTGGTTTTTATTCTTGCTTCCTCCTTTGTAGGGTTCCCTGAGCTCTGAGGGGCGGGGCTTGCATCCAGTGTTGCATCTACTGAACCGATGATCCAGCCACAGGGGGGTTGGGGGAAAAGGGGTACCTATTTTTGAGATAAGGTCTCACATAGACCTGGTTGCCTTCATAGTCCTGATCCTGGGGCCTCCACCTCCCAATGGAGGTAGCTGATGAAGGAAATGCCTTTTAGATTTCTAGCTAATAAATACAACAGAATGACAGGAAATTCATTCTCCAACTGCCAGTAATGCAATATGGCTAAGCCAAAACCCATCAACACATAAACCAGTAACTACACTAACGATATTAGGTTGAGCATGGTGACACATAACTGTAATCTCAGTACCGAGGCAAGTGAGGCTAGAGGATCTCACATCGGAGATCAGACTGGGCTACACAGCAAGTTCAAGGCCAACTTAGGTGACAGCAGGAGACTCCGGCTCAGGCTACAGAGATGGCTCAGTGACTAAGAATGTGTACTGCTCTTGCATAGGACCCAAGTTCAAGCCTCCCATTCCCCACAACACATCAGGTGGTTCATGCCCACTCATAACTCGGCATGAAACAAGAGGGGCTGCACACATTCACTGAATCCATCAGGACCAATGAAACAGTCTCAAGCAACAAACTGGAAGCCAGAGAAGTTTAGGTTTCATAGGACAGTGATAAATATAAGTGCTAAAGACCGGGTTTTGGTGTAAACGTGATGGGAAACCGAAGTCTGCAGCACTGAATGGCTCACAAGCATCTCTCTCGAGGATAATGAATGACGGCTTACTACATGGCTCCTTAGCATCGTCCTTCAGTTCCTCTGTCCTACTCTTCCCCCAGCTAGCAAGCACATACCTGGCCTTGTGCAGCCTCAGTTTCTCCCGCTTGAGCTGCTCATACATCACAGGGATAGTCATTGCCACCCGAAGCTGCCGACGCGTCAGGGTGCACAGGTGCCTCGGGTTGGCAGGCCTCCTGAGTTTTTTTGAGTTTCTAATCATTATCCGCTTCATCAATGTTGTATTAGAAGGGAAAGGCAAGGCTGTGTGGTAACAGGAAAATAGCAAGTCAGGCAACTTCTATCCCCTTAGCATGTTAAGCCCCTATCCTTAGGGCTAGTAAGGGTCTGGCTACTGATTACACCACACCCTAAGTCTGCAAAGCAAGAGGCTGAAAATATCTGAGTAGTTGTCTCATTTACACACAAGAGGCAAACAGGAACCAGAGGAGAAAGAATACCTTTACTTCTGAGTTGAGCCTCAAGTTTATCGATAGAGTCATGAGCGTTCAGGAATCTGAACGGGAACTGCCGACTGTGAATCACAGACTTCTGAAAAACAAGAAGGATGGTGTGCGGAGGAGGAGGGGGGATGAGAAGCCATGGGGATGAGAACCAGGACAGTGACTCAGTGACTCCACCACACTTGCGGGAAGGTGAGGAGAGAAAAACAGATCTCAAGAAGAAAAAGAGGAGGAGGAAGGGGAAGAAAGAAAGGTATGGATGAGGTAAAGGGGATTAATGGGAGCGCCATTTCTCTTTTTATTTATTGTTTAGTTGAAAAATATTTTATGTGTATCAGTGTTTTGCCTGCAGGTATGCATGTGGGCTACATGTATGCCTGGTACTACAGAGGACAGAGGAGAGCACCAGATCCTCTGGAAATTGAGTTACAGATGGTTGTGAGCAGCCATGTTGGTGCTGGGAATCAAATCCAAGTCTTCTGGAAGAGTAGCCGGTGCCCTTACTGGCTTCAAGCCGTCTCTCCAGCCACAGGGCCCCATTTCTTTTTATATTACACTGCTCCTGAAGTGAGTTAATTCATAGATGGTGATCTTTCTGTACGTTTTTGAGCTCACAAAGTAAACATGAAAATTATTACTCTCTATTGTAATCTCTGGAAGACTGACTATGCCTGGAGACCTGTCCTTCCCAACATATATAGGTTTCTGTGCCTCTTACATCCCTCAAGGAAACAAGCTGGTAGCCATGACCGCTTCAGCCACGTGGAAAAAGCCTGGCCTCTAGGTGAGACAACTCCCCACCAAGCCACACACTCCCCAGTGATCACATTTACCTCATGCTGGAGTCTCTGGAGAACGAGTTCATGGTGGCGGGCACTGATCCCAGTCCGCAGCAGGTTACACAGGTTCCGGAGCATGGCCATGAAGGGGAGTTTCCCACTGTCTTCAGTCATGGGGGATAGGGTAAATCAAGTGAGTGACATACACAAAGTAGCAGCCCACAGCAGGAAGCACAGAGCCACACAGAAGCTCAAATGGGAGAATGCAATCTGCTCTACTCAAAATGTTTTAAAGATCCAGGAAAACGAAGCAAGGACTGGCCTGAACTGGAGGGTAAAAACATAACAATGTGTATCGGATAGCTGTTTCAATAACAACTAACGTCACTATCTGTCGGCTGTAGTTGCTGGTTCAACTGGTACAATGTACTCCTCTTCTTCCCACCCACTTGATGGAAGGAGAGAACTGATTCCTGCAAGTCCCCTTTGACCTTTCACACAGCACCCACCCACGCCACACACACACACACACACACACACACACACATGCATACACACACATACACACATACACACACACACACATACACACATACACACACACACACACACACACACACACTTTCAGTTTTTTGAGAAAGGGTTTCTCTGTGTAGCCCTGGCTGTCCTGGAACTCACTCTGTAGACCAGGGTGGCCTCGAACTCAGAGATCCACCTGCTCCTGCCTTCTGAGTGATGGGATTAAAGGTGTGTGCCACCACTGCCAGATTTTCTTCCTTGAAAAATTAATTATTTGTATTCATCTGCGTGTGTGCGTGTGCATGTGTGTGTGAGGGAATGTTTATCACTTGTTTGGAAGTGCCCACAGAGGCTAGAAGAGGATACAGTATGCCCTGGAGCTGGAGTTACAGGTGGCTGTGAGCCACCTGATATGTGTGCTTGGAATTGAACTCAGGTCCTCTACAAGAGCAATAGACAAGCTCTTAACTGCTGAGTCATCTCTCTAGCCTCAAGTGTAATTTTTTTTTTTTTTAAAGAAAGAGTAGTGAGCTCTATACTTTTCAGTGGATATATAGTGAAAAATATTTATTATTCTGGTTTAGTAATGTTGAGGTTCAAGGTTCTCTTTTCAATCCCCAAATTGGTTACTTAATACCAAGTACTCAGCCTTGAAATCATGTACACACAAGTAACTTCATACAGACTGAGCAGGATGTATTTATATATTTAGGAATATAACAAAGAAGTAAGGGAAGTAAGGACCGTGAACCTGAGAGACAACAAGCAACACGGGAAGGGTTGGAGAGAGGAAAGGAAAAAGGGGAAACCATGTAATTATATTTTAATTTCAAAAAATAAGAAATATTTAATAAGAGACAAAAAGGGAAACAGGTATTCATCTGTGGAGCTGAGTCAGTGGGATTACAGGTGTGAGCCACCACACTCAGTTCCATCAATGTTCTGGCCGTTCTGGACACTCTAGGTGACCACACATGGAAGCATAATTTCAGCACCGGGGAGCCCGAAGCAGGACTGGGAGTTGAGACAAGCCTGGACTACACAGGCATTCTCAAAGAGGGAAGAAAAGAGAGAGGAAGAAAAAGAAAGTAAGTACCTTTCGGGCTAGGTGCATACCTACAGTCTCAGCAGAAGGAGAAATGGTTGAGTTTAAGAACAGCCTGGGCAATATAAAGAAATTCTATCTCAAAATATAGGGGGCTTGGGAGATGCTTCAGTAATTAACAACACTGGCTGCTCTTCCAGAGAACTTGAGTTCAATTCCCCAAACCCACATGGTAGCTCACAACCTCTGTAACTCCAGTCCCAGGAGAGCTAATATCCTTTCCTGGAATTTTCAGGCACCAAGCATAAATGCGGTACACAGACATATATATAAGCAAAACTCTCTTTGAGTTGGTTTAAGTAAGAATGGCCCTGTAGGCTCATATATTTGAATGGTGTTTGAAAAGATTATAAAGATTAGGGGGTGTGGCCTTGCTGGAGTAGCTGTGGCCTTGTTAGAGTAGGTATGGCCTTGTTGGAGGAAGTGTGTCACTGGGGGTGGGCTTTGAGGTTTTCAAAAACCCATGCTAGGCCCAGTCTGTCCTCTCCCCCGGCCCCCCCCCCTCTCTCTCAGGATACAGCTCTCAGCTACTGCTCCAGAAGTATGCATGCCACCACGCTCCTTCCATGGTAATAATGGAATAAACTGCTGAAACTATAAGCTAATCCACGTCCACAGTTAAAGGCGTTCTTCAATAAGAATTGCCTTGGTCATGGTGTCTCTTCTCAGAGAATAGAATAGTGACTAAGACATATATACATATATACATAGAAAATAAATGGACAAAAGAAAATTTTTTTTTTTTTTTTTTTTTTTTTTTTTTTTTTTTTTTTTTGGTTTTTCGAGACAGGGTTTCTCTGTATAGCCCTGGCTGTCCTGGAACTCACTCTGTAGACCAGGCTGGCCTCGAACTCAGAAATCCGCCTGCCTCTGCCTCCCAAGTGCTGGGATTAAAGGCGTGCGCCACCAACGCCCGGCTCAAAAGAAAATTTTGAAAAAAGAAATTAACCATAGGGAATTTAGTCTCAAACAAGATAAGCTGTTTAAACTTTCAGGGTTAGTGATTCTCAGCAAAAGTTAAAAAGTAAAAATATGCATACAGACAACACCACAACATCCTTCTTTGTTATTTGTGTTGTTTGCTTGAGACAAGAATTCACCAGGCTGGTCTCAAACTAGTCATCCTCCTGCCTCAGCTTCCCAATCTCTATGATTACCACACCTACCCACACCCAAAGCCTTTTCCTCACTATATCTTAACTTGTAAATTGGTGAAAAGGCTGACAGATGATGGGATTTAAATCCCAGGTAATTCTTATCCAGACATCAGCAGAGGCACTTGTACAGAGAGAATAATAAATAGCACAGCAACTCAGGCTGCTTGAGTCCAATGTATAACAACAAGCAAAGGGCGTTTGGGCTGGAAAGTTCCAAAACTGGAGAGCTTCCACTGTCTTAGTTAGGGTTTCATTGCTGTGAAGAGACACCATGCCCAAGGCAGCTCTTATAAAGAACAACATTTAATTGGAGCTGGCTTACAGGTTCTGCGGTTCAGTCTACTATCATCATGCCAAGAAGCATGGCAGCATTCAGGTAGGCACGGCACTGGAGGAGCTAAGAGTTCTACATCTTCATCTAAAGGAAGCCAGGAGCAGACTGTGTTTCAGGCAGCTAGGAGGAAGGTCTCAAAGCCCACCCCTACAATGACACACTTCCTCTAACAAGGCCACACCTCCTAGTAGTGCCACCCCCTAGGCCAAGCATATTTAAACGACCACATCCACCAAGGTCTAATGTTACATACATTTCAATAAAGAGAGAAATAAGTTTGAATTTCCAAAGGCAAAAGTAAAGCAGAAGGAAAGGTATAAAAGAGAGAGCCGAGCTTTCCTGTTTCTTTTTGAAATCATTCATTAGTTTGTTTGTTTTATGTCTTTTGCCTGCATGTGTGTCTGTGAACCATAGTATGCCTGGTTCTGTGGAAACGAAGAGAGAGTATGGGATATTCTAAGACTGGAATTGCAGATAGTTGTGACTGACCACATGGGTGCTGGAAATCAAACCCAGGTCCTCCTGAAGAGTAACAAATGTTCTTAACTGCTAAGCCATCTCTCCACCCCCTAAAAATGGGGTGAAGAGAGAGATCAGCAGCCAAGAAAAAGTACAGCTCTAACAGTGTTACTAAGCGTGATTCCTATAAGTTAGCCTATAACTCCAGCTCCAGGGTATTCAATGCCTCTTCCTGGTCTCTGGGAGCACCTGAACTCACACACACAATTAAAATAAAATTCAAGCCGGGCGGTGGTGGCGCACACCTTCAATCCCAGCACTTGGGAGGCAGAGGCAGGCGGATTTCTGAGTTCGAGAGTTCGAGGCTGGCCTGGTCTACAGGGTGAGTTCCAGGACAGCCAGGGCTACACAGAGAAACCCTGTCTCGAAAAACCAAAAATAAATAAATTAATAAATAAATAAACAAACAAATAAATAAATAATAAAAATAAATAAAAATAAAATTCAAATATTTAAAGAAAAAAGCATGAAAGAGTCCTTCATAGTTAAAAATAAATAACCAAGAGAAGAAGAAACACACTGAAGGTAATTTGGCCTTCCCTAAAGTGAATTTCTTCTTTATCAGTAGAGGGAAATGATTAAAGTTTTCAGATCCTACATGAATTTCTGTAGAGGTCCTACCATCTCGAGATCTAATCCCACTCGATTGCAATATTAAAAGCGTACTGATACAGGTGCAAACAGGAAAGAGGTACCACTTTTCTGCCCTGTGTTTCTGAAGACTTGTGTATCACCTACACACATCTGGAATCATGATCAACCTATGGTATCAACATTATTTAAAGCAAATTCCACTGTCCACAGTGGTATGGAAAATGGCAAACCTCAAAAATCCTATCTTTTAGTTATGTAAATCAAACTGCAAAGTAACTGCACCATTTTGTGGAAATCTTCAAGGTAGGATCTAAAATAGAGAAGCACAGAGGGGTTAGGCAGGAAAGGACAGTGACGTCAAGGCCACCTACCTATGAGTTCCTCCCATACAGAAGCTTTGTTTCCTCGCAAGCTCAGCTCCCGCTCCCAGGTCTCTGGCCTTTGGAGCTTCATCCGTTGCCCGGCTCTGCTGGAATCCCACGGCCCAGGGAGGTGACTCCGAGAAAATTGCTCTAGGGTGGATGGGTACCTAAGAGAGGGAAGAAAGCCCCTATTGGTCCAAAGCTTACACAAATTTGGAAAGAGCCAAAGTCAGCCAGTCATGTTCACATCACTGTCTGACTAACCTCATACTGATGGGATTGAGGACTACCAGCACTGGAGCCATGAATGAACCGGAATGATCAGGTCAATGGAATACATTTGAAATACCATGTCTCACCTGTAGCCCAGCAGCGCCTGGACGTGCTGGGCAGGCTCGTGGATGTGCAGTTGCTCTACCAACTTCTTCAGAGTGAACCTTGGTGGACTTTTTTTCTCTGGCACCACATTATAAGCTGCTTCAAACTGTGGAGACAACCCCAAGTACCACAGGGTTCATTTCAGCCACAATCACAGGGTACCAGAAATAAAAACACAAGCTACCATACCCTATCAGAAAGTAAAGCATAAAATGATCATACACCCATGAGGTAATCTCAATCTCTAAAACAGATGTAGACAAAGAATATAAACATCAAGGAAAACCCTGTAGGAGCTCCCAAGGATACAGCTGTAGCTAACGGCCACAGTAACAACACTCCTACAGTGCCAGCAACTTGGGAGGCTAAGGTGAAAGAACTCCACAACAGATCTAGAGAGTGCAAGGCAGCATGGGTAACATGGTAGACCACCTCAAAACAGAAAAAGAAACCAAAGATAGTAGCTCTTTGGGTGCCAAACGAAAAAGAGAAGGGTCAGGGACCACAACAGCTTTCTGAGAGCTCTTGTGTTTCACTCATACAAGACCAACCTATCGGAGTTACTATGGAGTGACTGGCTTGTAAAGAACAAGGTGGGAATGAGAACAGAGAACATCCTCATTCTCTCAGAGAGGGAAAAGCAGGCAAGTATTATCTATATCATGAGCCTTTATTGTGGTGGCATCTGTTTGTTTTGAAAACTTTCTACAAGAGGCTGGAGAGATGGCTCCGTGGTTAAGAACACTGGCTGCTCTTCCAGAGGACCCATTTCAACTTCAAGCATACACATGGTGACTCACAAATGTCTGTAACTCTAATCCCAGGGGATCTGATGCCATCTTCTGGGCTCCAAGAGCACAGGCATACATGTGGTACACAAACACACAGAGAGGAAAACTCTCATACACATAAAACGGATAAATAAAAAAATTTTAAATTTTATATGGCGTGGAAATGGTTTTTGAAATTTTAAATTCATGGATCCAATTGGATATGTTACCTGTAAGACCAAGAACAACAGAGAGGAAAAAAAAGTTCCTTCCCTTTATTCTCTGAACCAAACCAGACAATCACAACTGTGAACACCCAGGTAGGAGACAAGTAAGTATCTACCACACTGGCTGTTGGAATTTTAAAAATTGATGGAGTTCTATTTCTAAATTCAAGCTCAGAAGGGATAGCACAGACAGACAGACAGACAGACAGACAACTCCCAAGCAAGGAACTCACCATAATCTGTTCATTTTTAAGGGGCCAAAGACTCTTTGGAAAACATTTCCCTCTCTCTGAAAATGGAAGTTCTGTTTTCTACAGGGACAGGAGAAAACACGTCAAACAGGGAAATGGAAGTTGCCCATTCCAGTAGCCCTGAAAGAATATCTCTGTCAAACAGGAAGCAAGTTCACAGAGGTGACCCTGTTCTTTCTGGCCCTGAACTCTACACAGATTATCTGGGCCTCTCTGGCTCCTTTGTTTTCTGGCATATGAACATTTCAGAGACTTTTGTATAGGAGCTCCTAAGCTCAACATTTTCCTTTCTCCCTCCCTCCCTAGAGAAAAGGGGCCATGAACTCCCAGGGCTGAGGCAAAGACTGACTGGAGGGCGGGGTGGCTGGCGGGAACGCCTCTTGGATCGATGTTTCCGTGGATTATACTTAGCTAGCTGGTACTCATCAAACTGGGCAAATTTGTCAGTCATGGCAGCACGGAGGCAAGCAGGCAACTTCTTCTCATCCCCTTCTAGTAGGCTCTATTGAGGAAAAAAAGAAAAGATCAGCAAAAGTGAGACCCAACACACACACACACACGCAGATCCTAGAGTTATATGGGAGCAATAACAGGGAACAATTTCCTAATCTCATGTCCAGAGTTACATTTCTGTGTACAAGGCGAGTCAGCAGTCTTCTCTAAGCATATCATCATTATAAAGAAAGTCTAGGGGGTGTGGTAGGGGTGGACAGCTGGGATGTAAATAAATAAAATAATTAATTAAAAAGTAAAGTTGAGAATTAGACCAACTTTTTCTCAGACTTTGATCCAACCTTCATCTCACTATTTCATTAGTCCACTTGGCTCTAACAGAGAAAACTTATCCTCTCTGGGCACTTGGATGCAGGAAAATGGAGGGAAGGTTAACTTGTCTGAAAATGTCCTCTATGAACAAAGTGGGGAAAGAGGAAAGGTCAAAGTGCAGGGTGCTAAGGACCATACCTGGTAGAACTCAGCTACCTGGATCCAGTCTGAAGGCAGGTGAACAATGGCGGAGTAATACCGTCGTATGTGAGGGCGGCAGGCTGGAAAGAGGGCAGCCACAGCCAGAACTATATTGGCAATATCCCGGAGATTAAGTTGCTGCCTAGCATACAAAGATGCCTGGGAGGGTAGAAAAGATTGACATGTTGGTCACTTATCCCATAGCCGCATGCCCTCAACTATCTTACTTATTGAATCTGCCAGTATAAAACCATTTCTGAGCACGCCACAATATCTACAAGAGATAAAGCACAAGCATCACTTAGTCTGCAGACCATCCTCTGAATCAACAGGACTGCCCTTGTTTGGAAGAGCCTTCATACCAACATCTGTCAAAAACATACTGATGGCAATGTGTGTGTGTTGTAGAAGAGAGAGAAATAACTAGCTGATAACTAGTTATGATCTTCCTGAAGGCAGCTTCTGAAATCTTTTTGGTAACTGTAAGCCTTAAAATTATACTAAATTATATTAAGAAAAAGATATTCAGTATCTAGATTATTACTTCGTGAAATAAAGTACCATTAGTTAAAAGAAAAGTTTCCAAGGGTTCAATTGCTGGTTAAATCTGTCATCTTCCAAAGTTTCACAGAAAACATTTTCCCCTTGTCCTGACTAGTTTTGTCAACTTGACAGCCTAGAGTCATCTGAGAGGAAAATCTTAGGGGAGGTACTTCTTGATCAAATTGGCCAGTGGGCATGTCTGGAAGGAGAGCCTCTTAATTATTATCTGACGAATTGTGGGTGGCATTATCGCTAGGCAGGTCATCCTATACTTTATAAGAAAGCTAGCTAAAGAGTTGGAATTGGTACAAATACTTTTGAATAATGGTTGATCAGTATCTGAAATTTTTAATCCTGGTACAAAAAAATATAATAAAAATGCCTGAAGGAGTACACTGAAATAGCATATGTGTTCATGACAACATTATTTGTGATGGCCTAGAAGTACAAACAATTCACTGCTAAATTGTAGCATAGATAAGCTGTGGTATATGGACTACCTAACTACAACAGTAAACTTCACCTGTATGCAACATTATGAATAAATTTTATGATATATATATATTTTTAAAATAAATAAAGATATATATATATGTGTGTGTGTGTGTGTGTGTGTGTGTGTGTGTGTGTGTGTGTGTATGTGTGTGCGCGTGTACTTGAGAATTGCTGTTTGAAGTCAAACAAGGAGGACCTAATGAGGGCTGCTTTTTTCCTTCCTGGGCAACTTCTCTGAGGGTGGTGGCTGGTTTTTGCTGAAGGAGAAAGTGACAGAGTGACAGGGACTGGGCCTGAAGCAGGTTCTGGGAGAGACTGTAGTAATGTTCCAATTCTGGAACTAGCTAGCCAGAGTAAACAACTGTGTTCATTTTGTGACAATGCTTTTGAGCTGTATATATAGCATACATATAGTCTCATTAGATTAAATAAAAGGAAAAAGTAAAAGGAAAAAGAAAAACTGTAAGAAGAAAGCTAAGATGAGCCTGTGTAAGCGAGCAAGCAGTGTTCTACCATGGCTGCTACCACAAGTTCCTGCACTAACCTCTCTCACTGACGGACTGTGACCTGGAAGTATAAGCAATAACAAAACAGTCCTCTTTCGTGTCCTAAGTTACTTTTGGTTAGAGTGACTTATCGCAGGCACAGAATGAAACGAGGACATCCCTCTTCCCATCCCTCTTCCCTGCTCATGAAGCAGCCACATCATTTACCTACTCCACACATGATATCTGGGGCAGAGTTCTGCATACCCATGGGACCAAATCCAAGTTTCATCATGTTAATAAGACTCCCACAGTCTAGTGTTGTGCATTTAGCTTGTGCAAAGCAATTCTAGTATACCTTCCCCCATCTCCCCTTTCTCCACGCCACAGAATGCCAGGGACTAGGCCCCGGACTCACCCAGACATCTTGCTCCCTTCTTGAGCAAGTGTTCCTTCCACCCCACAGGGATCCAATAAGCAGCTCTTCATATCATAACTACATTAATATCTCCCTCTTCTCCCCACTCCTTCATACCCCAATACCTTAAGGATGAACTCAGGTTCCAAGGGGGCCAGTGCATTACAGACTTCAAGGATGTATGCCCGGGTAGGGTCAGAGGCATCTTTCACATTCACATTTGAGGCCAGAGCAGAGCACAGTAAGGTCAAGAGAGCCATCTATGAATTGGGAAACACAGAAGAAAGGAGTAAATATAGATCTACACAGGCCAACTTGTACAGTCAAGGATAGAGGAGCTGGGGAGATGCCTCAGTAGTTAAGAGTACTTGCTGCTCTTGCAGAGGACCCAGGTTTAGTTCCTAGTACCCTCATTGGTTCATAACCTCCTTTAAGTCCAGCTCCAGAGGGCGGAACATTTGCAGGGGGACAGTCTCAGTTTGTAACCCTAGCTAGAACTCACTATTATAGAGCAGGTTGACTTCAAACTCCCAGAGATCCACCTGCCTCTGCCTCCTAAGTAGTTAGGCTACAAGTCATATGCCACCATGCCCAAAGGGATCTGACATCCTTCCCGACTTCCACAAGCACAGGATACACACAGGGCCTATCTACAAATGTAGGCAAATACTCATTGGCATAAATAAATTTAAAAAGCACAGAAAACATGGACCAAGGTTCAGAAAGATGTCTGTTTAACTGAGAGGCTGAACAAGTAGATTCGGAAGTAGGAAACGGGATCATTTCCCTCTGCAACCTTCCACCTGGGGAGAAGCCCGGATTCTGGTCTTCATCCTCACCCTTCCCTCCACCATCAGCCTCCCAACTCTGGAAGCTCTACCTTCTTTTCCTGGAGGACCTGGTCAGTGCTTTCAGGATGAGAGTCAGAATCTCCAGATGTGAGTTTTAGGACTGGTGCCTCCACCTCTTCTTCTCCCAAGCTTAGACTGTACAAAGGCATCGGGACTTCTGCACTTTCTTTTTCTTCTTGCAATTCCTTTTCTTCCAAGCTGCACCACTGACCCTGCAAACCATGGCAGTTATAAATTGGACCATGTACACATGCACAGCCCTCCAACAGAGGGATTAGAAAGTATCTCCTAGAGATACAAAAGGTCCACATCTCTAAACAAGTAAACCCTCTCCCTTCACCCCCACACTAATCACCTTTAGTCCGGCCTGTCTCTAGCTTGGCACTCTTTCCCATACTACCTTTCTCTATCCAAGCTTCTGAGTTTTTGCCCGGATGCTCTGTGATCTTCCGCACTGCCATTTCATGATTGCAAGTCTGGCAGCCTAAGTCGTCTCACATACCTTCTAAACTCACTATGCTGCTTTCTGAGTCAGAAGAATGCCAAGCCCCAAATCAATTCCCCAGAAGCCCCAAGCTTCTTCACTCACTATCACCTCCCTGATAGGGCTGTTGAAAGATTCAACGGAATAATGTATGTTTGACTCTATAAACTGCAAATCACAGCAGGGTAACAACAGTTGTACTTTGGACCAGAACTTTGTGAAGCACATTTTCACTAACTTGATTTGAAAGATGAGGAAATTAAAGCTCCAAGGGGATATTAGCTTTACCTAAGGCTATATACTTTATTGTTAGCAGAGATACGATAAGGTTCAGGTTAACTCTTTCCCAAGTATCCACAGAGGAAATGTGGTCCTGTCTGCTAATTCGGATCTATGTACTAAATGTGCTTACATGGATCTATTAAGAAGACATGTATAAGCACATGAGCATACAAGGAAGTGAGCTCATATATAGCCAGATCAGCATGTCTAACCTCAAAGGCATCCAGCTAACTCTGTTGTAGTAATCATGCTGGATTTCTTCTTGATCAGAGGCTTTCTAGAGGCAAGGATTACTTTTGAGATCTATTACCCAGCATCTCTAGATATTTGATAAGAATAAAGATGCCAGTGAAAACAGCCCTAAGGTAGAGAGTACCTCAGAAAGGTCCAGAGAGACTCAGTAATAGAATGCCTACCTACCATGTGCTTGCCTCTGGGGTCAGTTCCTAGAACTATCCAAAAAGAACCAAAGGCTGAGAAAGGAAGATCCCTGGACACAGATCATCCGAGGTGGAAACTAAGGCACTGAAATAAGCCTACTAACAGAACATAGAGCAAAAAGCTAGAGTCAAGACGAGCATCCAAAAGCAAATACCAAAACTACTTCCTGAACTCGAGCTGCAGCAGAAATGGATTTTGGGACCCTGGGTCCAGTTGGAAGGTCTAGTTCCTCAGAGAAACATGGAGCTTTCTTGGTAGGAGGCTCAGGGAACAGGCAGTTGCTAGTTTTCAGGCTACACAGATCAGCTTGTGCCATATGAGGTATGTGAAGACACTGGAGCAAGGGGCTGGTCGATACAGTGCTCTTTACAGTGGGGAGGGTAGCTAGACATCGGTTCTCCAAAGAGAGGACGTCTGAATGACTAGACATATGTCCACATAGCTTCTCCAGGGGCTGGAGGTCAGGGAGCATGGTCAGGCACCGATTCTCCAAGGAGAGGATGTCTGAGTGGAGAGATATATGTCCATCTATTCTCTCCGTGGGCTGGAGGTCAGGGAGCATGGTCAGACACTGGTTCTTCAAGGAGAGGATGTCTGAGTGGACAGATCTATGTTCATGTATTTTCTCCAGGGGCTGGAGATCAGGGAGCATGGTCAGACACCGGTTCTTCAAGGAGAGGATGTCTGAGTGGACAGGTACATGCCCACAGAGTTTCTCCATAGCTGCAGCACAATCAACATATGCCTAGAAGAAAACACAGGTGATGAGATGCACTAGAAACATATCAACTCCATATTCATCTGTTTGTGCCAGTGATAGGCAAAAAGCAAATATTTTTATTTCTTAAAATTATGTTATTATTATTATTATTATTATTATCATTATTATTTTGTGTGTGGGTGTTGAGAGAAGGAGAGGGGGAAGGGGGAGAGAGGTGTGTCTATAAGTTTGGGCATGCGTGTCACAGCATGTGTGAGGCTGGAGGACAATCCTTGGGAGTTGGTTCTCTCCCCCCACAGTGGGATCTGGGGATTGAACTCAGGTGGTCAGGAATACACAGCTTTAACCATCCATCTTGTTGGCCTTTTTTTTTTTATTCATCCAGTCATAATTCTAAGGGAACAGGTGGAAAAGTGAAAGCAAAGGCTTAGAGGGAAAGAAAGCCTGGCATGCCATAGCAGTGACTTGTCTAGAATCACAGCTGAAGAAGAGACTGTAAGAACATGGAGGCCAGCCTGTGCTACATAGCAAATTCCAGGTACATGTGAGCTACACTGACACTCTCTTTCTCAAAAGAAAATGTGTCTTGCTATCCCTCTTGTGTCCCTGTGCTACAAGGAAAAAAAAAAAAAAGCAGTGAGGGCCAGCGTGACATACACCTGCTGCACTCCCAACACTTGAGGCCAAGGCAGGAAGGTTAGGAGTTCATGGTCATCCTTGGTTAAACTGCAAATTAAAAGATCACAGTCACCCTGGAATATAGGAGACTTTGTCCAAAAGGGGTGGGGAGCTAGGAAGATAGGTCAGTTGATACAGCATCTAGATGAAAAGGAAGGCTCAGTAGTCTGTGACTATAATCCCAACACTGGGAGGCAGGTGGATCTTACAGCAAACTGGCCAGGTAGCCTACCAAAGTAACATGGGAAGCAATAGAGTAAGACACCTGATGTGGCCCTCTAACCTCCACATACCTGTATATATATCTGCATATGCACATACTCTTGCACACACACACAATGAGTAACAAAAATATCATAATTAATTCAATATTTGATTGATTGATTGATTGATTGATTGACTGAGACAAGGTCTCACTAAAAAGGTCTGGCTGACCTGGAACTACGATACGGATTCCACCTCACAGAGAGCCACCTGCCTCTGCCTCCCCAGTGCTAGGATTAAGGCATGCACATATGTATGTATCTCCATCCATATCCACATCTGGCATAATCCAAGAGGGAAAAACAAGTTGTCAAATAAAATTTTAAATTAACAGAAAAATAAAGACATGTAATTTTTTTCCTCTTTGGAATTTATGGAGATTCTGATGAACTTCTGAAAGCTTGGAAGTCCTTCTCCAAGTTCCAGAGATAACTGGTATTGACAGTTTTATTCTGGCATACACTAGTATGTATATCTGCCTCCACTTCTACCTCCCGTCCCTTTTCTTTGGCCTCGGATCTGGGGCCATACTTCAGACTTTTACTCTTAGGAATAATCCTGAAGGCCTGCCATGTTGGCACCTTAGTGTCCATCACTGTTAAAGTTGATGGTCTAGTGAGTTTCTGTTGCTAAAAGTGCTCACAACACCCCTCATTTGCTATAGTTATTCCCTCCTTCTAAGAGCCCTTAAGGAAAAAGGAACCCATTCTCTCTGAGCCTCATCCCTCCGCCCTACCAAGAACACCCCACCTCCCCCGCAAGCTGCCCGGAAGGACTAGGCGGCTGCACCGCGCTCGCCCTAGGCCCTTCGCGGAGTCCAGCCACACAGGTCTCGGCCAGGGCTCTACCTGCGCTCGGGACTGGAAAAGCTGTGCGCAATGAGGCGTGCGTTGGTTCTCCGCAACAGAGAGCAGAAACCAGCCTGGGTCAGCCAGTCGACAAGTTGGAGACAGAGAACTGAAAGGAAAGCAACACCCTAGGGAGGCGAAGGGGTGAGGCTGGGCAGGGGGCGGGGTGGGGCTGTGGGCGGGGCAGTGACCTGGGCGGGGCTGAGGGCGAGACTGCTGCGGGTAGGATAATCACAAATGACTGGATTGCAGGATTGTGCTAACCACACCCGGTTTGATTTGTACGGTTTAGGGATTCATACTCTGGGCCAGACCAACTTTACCAACTGAGCTGTATTTCCACTCAATACAGTCACGTTCTGATGTTTTATGTATAATATCCCAGAGGCTTATGTGCTAAAAATCATGCCAGCCTGGGGCAGCTGTTGGGAGGTGATGAAACCTTTAGAAAGATCGCTGAGAGTATGCCCTTGACGGGACTTTGAAAGTCAGGTCCCTTCTCTTCCTTTTGCTTCCTTTCTTCCACAATGGAGGTGAACAGTTTCCTCTGTCAATGTTCGCCATCCCACCCCATCCATGAACTGCTTTGCCACAGGCCAAAGCAAGAGAGTCAAGAGATCCTTGACTGAAACCTCTGAAAATATGATTCGGAATGATGGCACACACATTTAATCCCAGCACTAAAAAGGCTCAGGCAGGAAGATCATAGAGTTAACTCTGCCCATGGTATTTGAGTCATCATTACATCATCTTTTTGTTCCTGAGACAAAGTACCAGAGATAATAAACCAAACCGTTTGTTTGTTTGTTTGTTTGTTTGTTTGTTTTTCAGACAGGGTCTCTCTATGTAACTCTGTATGTCCTGGAATTCATTACGTAGACCAGGCTGGCTTCTGACTCAGAGATCTGCCTGCCCCCCGCCTCCCAACTCCTGGGATTAAAGGCATGTACCACCACCACCACCACCACCGCCAGCAATAAAATTTTTATTTATTTTTTATTTTTTATTTTATTTATTTATTTATTTATTTTGGTTTTTTCGAGACAGAGTTTCTCTGTATAGTCCTGGCTGTCCTGGAACTCACTCTGTAGACCAGGCTGACCTCGAACTCAGAAATCCACCTGCCTCTGCCTCCCAAGTGCTGGGATTAAAGGTGTGGGCCACCACTGCCCAGCTAAATTTTTTTATTTTAGGGGTTTGGGCTTTTATTTTTAGACAAGGTCTATCTATATAACCCCAGCTGGCTTGCAGCCCACTAAGTAGACCAGGCTGCCTTCTAATGGCTCAGAAATGAAAAGAACTGGTTTTTGCAGAAGACCCAGGTTCAGTACCCAGGACCACATCATGCCTCATGACCATTGGTAACTCTAATTACCATGATCCCCTCTTCTAACCTCCAAGAGCACTTGGCATGATGGAGGTGCACAGACATATATAGAGGCAAAACACTCATAAATACAAAATGGAGAAGGGGAGAAGGTCTGTTTTATATGTGAAGTACTACTAGCCAGGTAGTATACCCTTATAATTCCAGAGAGTTTAGAGGCTGAAGCAGAAGGGTCTCAAGTTCCAGCCAGATTCCTTAGGGAGCATTTGCCTCCATTAAATAAATAAATAAAAATAATAAATAAATAAATGAATAAATAAATAAATTTTAAAACCCCTAAAGATAAATAGTAATTTTAGTAGGTTTTTGTTATTGTTGTTCTGAGACAGGATTTCTCTGTGTAGCCCTGGCTATCCTGGAATTCACTCTGTAGACAAGGTTGGCCTTGAACTCAGAGAGATCTGCCTGCCTCTGCCTCCCAAATTCTGGGATTAAAATGTGTGCCACCATCACACAGCCCAGTGGATTTTTAATATGTATGAATGACTGGCAGAATCATTCAAAGTTGTAAGTACAAGAATGCCCCTTACTGTGGAAGTACTCTACACAGTTACTAAGTCTCTCTCTCTCTCTCTCTCTCTCTCTCTCTCTCTCTCTCTCTCTCT